TTCGTAGCTGACACGGTACAACACTTTTCTTTCGCTTACTTCACACGGCCAGTCATTTTGTTTACAAAGAAATGGTGTGCTATGCGCATGCGCTAGTAGAGGGAAATCCCTGAACAAAACGTTGGTCAGACAGGTAGAAATACCGATGATTATCTTAGATTTAATCATTTTTATGAATCTATTTCAGCCAAATCCGATCGTTATTTTCCATAAGGAGTCTCACTTGATATGTTTATGTAGTATTTGGAAAAAAGACCAAAAAAAAAGTTACTTCAGCGTGATGCCCCTTTAAGTTTGAAATGTAAAATGTTAACGGACGACGGACGACGACGGACGAAAACGGATAGCAATAGGTCACTTGAGCTAAAGCTCAGGTGACCTAAAAATGTAGGAGGAGATTGCCAGACAAAAATCAAATACTGAAATAAACAAAGGGCAATAACTTTTGGAAAAATTGTTGAATCAAAATTCTTTTGAGGGAGACACAACTTCATATCATGATTATGATGTATACCAAGTTTCAAAAAGATCCGTTGAAAAATGTAGGAGAAGATCTCCGGACAAAAATCAAATACTGAAATGAACAAAGGGCAATAACTTTTGAAAAAACTGTTGATTCAAAATTATTTTAAGGGAGACACAACTTCATATCATGATTATAATGTATTCCAAGTTTCAAATAGATCGGTCGAAAAATGTAGGAAGAGATTGCCGAACAAACAAAGTTTACGCCGGACAGACGGACGCCATACCATAATACTACCGTCAAATTTTACAGTCGTATAAAAACATGAACCCGTGAAGCTGTCCTATTTTGTGATTTTAACTGTGGAACTCTTTTATGCATGACCATGCTTTGTGACCAATTTTCCGGTTTGGACTGTCGTCAGTTTGGGTGTACGTACAGAATACTGTTGATCAACATTGATGAAGTTTGTTTTTTCTTATGAACAACATGGTTTTGACAGTCAGCACACTTTACAGTGCTTTATCGTAAATTATTTGAACCGATTTCATGCTAGTCTACTTACGAAAGATGTTCATAAACACATAATGGCGAAATGCCGTAGCTTTGCGTTTCATTTGTATCAAAGAATAAATAATTTACGAAATGCAATTCGAACACGATGTCGGATTTACGCTATTGAAACTAGTATCTTACTTCGAGGTATCCAAGTTTTTCGAGTTTTCAGGGTTCAAATTATCAGAGTTTTATTTACTAAGATAAAGAAAAGATTTTGCCGGCGACTGGACAGATTCTTCGAGATAAACAAGGTCTTCGAGTTATAAGAGTTCGAGATAACGAGGTTCGACTGTATCTCCATGTTGACATAGGATTTTACATACAGGTAAATACATCAGTGATGCTCGGAGGGGTGGGTGGGCTGGAAGGGTTGGGGGTGTACCTGTGGTGCGTCGGATAGGCTTTGGTTCCTGGAAGAAGGAGCTGGTGTCAGCCATGCTGAGGATACTCTCGTTAAGTACGGTCTGGTTAGAAGCAGCTGCCGTTATATCAGCTATCACATCTGTTTTCTCTGCTTCCTCTGGAACAAAAACAAGGTCATGAACAATTAGTGTTAAAATGGAAATATCTGTGCTGGCAATGGTTCTGAAATCTACACATTCTGAACATCAATTCTAAAAACAAATAGCTGCATGTGAATATTTTTATACTTCTTTACTAGCATGAAAATGTCCACACCTGCAACATTTCCACTGTACGGTACCGAGGACACTTGGCACTGCAAACTTTGGTTTGTTAGAACACCTTACTGTTTTAACTAGCTGACAATTTTCCATCTACAATTTTTTGTCAACTATGATCCATGACTGTTGCTTCGGGATCATTTCGACACCATCTTATTTCATTGATTCTATTATTAATGATCCATTTCTGACTGATATCAAATAAATCAAAGATTTCTTAAAGTACACACAGTACCTACCTAGTAGCGTAAACATACTTATTTCAGCAGTTGTCTTACTTAAAGACCTTTTGTACACAATACTACAAAAGAACCTGTTTTCATATATAAAGGATACTTTAAAAAGGTTGGCATATTGATTTATGATATCCTGAATAGAGATAGTGTACTGCAGAGGGCTGAAATGTGAGTTTGCTAATAGTTTACAATACCCGTTTCCATTGTTTGTTGTGCCTGGTTCTCAATATCTGCTAAGAATTCCTCGGGCAACAACTTGCGGAGGTACTCCTGGAATCTCTCCACAGACTTGAGGCACTGCTTGTCCTTAATCACCTGTAAAGATCATAGGGTTATCTTTGTAACTTATCAATAATAATAACATTAATTTGAGGTTCTTATATACCACTTGATCACAACCTAGTTTGTAGGTCGTTTCAAAGTATTTCACAAATTGTTATCCGTGGTTATAGGGCCTTTGCAACCAGCCAATGCCTTTCAAAACTCCCCAGGGACCAGAAAGCTGGTGCTGCTTTTTCGGCACTCACATCTAAATACAATTCTAGCACTGCCCAACCATGTATTCATTTACAACTGAGTAGACTGGAACAAGCGAAGTCAAGTATCTTGCTCAAAAATACAACAGTTACGTGACTCGAACCTGCAACCCTTCCGTCACAAGCCCAGCATTCTACCACTAGACTACTGTGCCTTCTATATCAAAGATCAAACAGCATTAAGAATTTACCAACACAAGGACTCCAAAATAAATCATTTCTGTCCATGGTTGAATTACCTGGAAATTATTTCTCATATGCAAATTATTAAATTCTATAGGTGGTTCCCCTAGAAATACCTGGGGAATTTGGGTGGAAAAGCCCTCACACAAGTTTTGTAATCAGACTATTATAGATGTTTTAAGTTGAAATTTAATTTGCCTACTGCATTTGCTCCTTCTTGCTATCTTCAAACTAAAAGTATAACACATTATGCAGACTATAAGTTATGGAGTTAATAAAACGCTTTCCATGACTAGATTAATCAATTTTATTTCTATTTCTGTAAATAGTGTAACATTTTGAATTCTATTTGAAACAATAAATGATAAAGCACTTGCCTCAGTGATTCTCTGTAGGAGGACAAATGTTTCCTTGTTAGAGATGATATCCTCTTTTCCTAGTTCCAGTTGGTTCAGGATCTTCACCCACAGCTTCAGACTGAAGGAGTCTGGGTTACTCAAGATTTCATTACATATAGCCAGGGAAACATTGGCATGGCTTGGGTTTTCCTAAAAGTAAGTGAAACAGTATTAAATGCAAGAAAAACTAGGCTGGTGTTATCATTGTAAGGGTATTAAGTGCAGTCAAAGACAGTAATGTCTTGGACCTAGTATTAGTTAGGTAATAGAAGACCTAGATATAATGCAAAAAAAATGTACAGTTTATAATGAGATACTTGAAAATAATGAAATGTTAGAAGAAGTTATGCTTCAATGTTAAGGAAAAAGAGCCATTGACATAATTAAGATATAATGTTGGAAACACTACAGCAAAATGGACTTACATAAAAGTTATTTCAGGTTATGATATAGCAAGTTAACCAAGTTTAATGCAAGTCTGTTAATGAATTTTGATATTTTTCATCTATAAACAGTTACGAGGTGACTGTCTTACATCAACAGTTTGGTTTTGGTTGTGAAGGAGGAGTTTGGTGCTGGTGAGCTGTATGAAGAGTTCGGCCACATTCTCAACGGACACTTCAGCCAGAGGACTGGACATCGGGGCATTCAATAAGATCTTCAGTGTCGGCATGAATGCTTCCTCCACTTTTTCTTGATTAGATCTGCATTAGGCAAGCATCAGTTCCAGTTTTAAAAAATCAAATCATTCCAGCAATGCAAGTATATTCTGAAGTATTTTTTTTCTTTCTGTGTTAAACATTAATGATATCTTTCTACTCAAGCCCCTAGGACTGTTTAGTCACTTGCTCTGTCCAATTTTTAAAAAATTCCAATGGACTTTTAAAACATGTTAATGGTATAAATTTGTTGAAAGATGCCCAGTAGTTACCAGATGTCATTTTTACCTGGCTTATCAGCCTTCATGTGGGTTAGTTCCTTAATTTCTAGTTCTTTTGATCACCATAGACTAAGAATGCTACCACTACAATTTGGTTGTGGTCTACACAGTACTTTGGGAGAAGACGTCATTCAAAGCATATCAGCACATTTTATATTGTCTCTTTCAAATCTTGTATTGATCACTCTTTCTACCTTACTTTCCATAAGAGTTGTTTTATTTTTACCAATTTTACTTAAAATGAGATCGGACAACTGACCTGCCAGCAAAGGCATAGACAGGGAAAAATGTGCCTAGGCAATGTCTGAGGTGTGTGTCATCTTCTGTTAGGGGATTATACCACAGCAGGATCAGATGAGACAGGATCTTAGGGGAGACAACCCTGCCAGACACCAACAGCTTGGCTAGGCCCTCAGCAGCTACGGTACGTAGTTTTGAGCTCTGTATGTAATAAACAGTGAGGATTTAAACACCAATCAATCCATGTTGGTAAATCAAGAGTAACAAACTAAAAGTTATCATTTAATGCAATGGATTCTTCCTAGGAATCTTTACCTGTTTTTGTTAACGTGTGGAAACAGTAGGAAATATTCCAGTTTTTTATAAGTTTTAACTATTATGAAATTTGTATATGATGGCTATAACTCTCTCTTATGGTGCTCAATTTTCATCGACAGGTAAATATACATTAATAGTCATCAAGCTGAAAATACTTATGATTGCATCATACACATATGCTCAATGTTTTTGTAATTCTCACAAAAACCTGCCTACAGAAATCAAGATTCAAGGGACTGAAAATGTATTGTTTTAATCTTATTCAGTCAGTAGGTCAAATACTAACATCACAGTCGAGAAATCCACTGAGAAAAGCCACTAGATTGGAGGCGTGATTCTGGCTGTCCTGGTCCTTTGTCTGTTCCTCTGTAGTTCCAGGGGAAGAAGGAGCCCCAGAGCTAGTGTCCATTGCCTCACTTGAGTTGTCAGCGTCAGAGGCGGACTTCTGGATCACGTCCATACCGTGCATGTGGAGGACATCAAACATGACTGACAGGGCGGTAGCTCGCACCTCCTCTTCATCTATTTTGGAGGCCTATTCACAAATCATAAACTCATCTATAGAAACATTCAAGGAACCAAGAACAGGGAGTAAAGAAAATCAGTCTTATATGAACACATAGTAATATTACCTAGCAAAATGCAAAATCTGATGAATGAATCAGACACTGATTGCTTTTACTAGTATCTGTAGCTCTTTTACCTGTGTACAACATCAAAATCAATCAGTATCTAAGATTTATCAATATATAAATCATAGACAGGAGATGCATGGCCATTTCCCTATTTTGAGTTAAAATTAAGGTTATCAAAGATAATTGAAAAATCACTTTCATTCTAGATTTATAATTCAATTTTGTCAGTTCAACAAGTCATTTTTTTTTTTAGGGAGATAATTCAAGAAACACAGATATAATTTAAATGTAAGAGTAGACGGATGCAAGATGTTCTCTGTTGTGTATACAGACCTGCATGAAGAGTGGCAGATGTTGGAGAACCAGGTCCTGGTTGATCAGACAACACAGTCCCAGGGCACGCTGGGCAACAGTACGCAGACGACTGTCCTCGCTCTGGATACCTGGTAACAACTACATACAATACCAAAGGGTCAATATAAATATCAATCAGGGATTATTTTAGGTTCCAGTATTACCACTAGGATGATCAAACATTACATTATAATGTGAAACATGTGGGGAATATTTTCTTTCGTGATATTATTGTTACATTAATACTATTTATTTTGTTGATACTTTTTTTTTGCCATCAGTCATGTAATCATTCACTGTCAGAACTAATATACCAGGTTCTATTGTATCCATGACTATTAACACATAGCAAAGTTTTTAAGCTATACTATAGCTAGTCACTCCCTCAAACTGTGCTTCACTAAATATTCACATCATATTATTAGGGCTTTTCACCAACTGGTGAAAAGACCTATTGTTTTTGTTATGTTTCTTATTCTTATTCTTATTATTCTTCTTCCGTACTTTGTGAATTCTGTTTCTTTTGATTGGTAAAAGATAGGTTTATAGTCTTTTAGGTATGTTGTAGGAAAAGGTCTGAAGCTGATCAAGCAACATTTGCAAGTAGGTCAAAAATTAAATATGGCCGCCATGACGTCATAGGTCAAAATCGTAAAATGGCCATAACTCAAAAACGGTTTAAGTTACAGAATTGATGCAATTATATTATAGGTAGATAACCTTCAGGGCTAAATTTTTGGTCAGTCCGTAATTTTGAAAAAAGGTCAAATAAAAAAGCTTGCTGTTGGGTCAAAGGTCACCATTTTTTTTAAACCATTAAATTTTCACATTTTTTTTAAATGCTTCATTAGATCAATGTAGAATGCCATTCCGATGAATTTAATGTCTTTAGTTTTTCTGGAACATTTACCGTTAACGTTGTACGCCATTTTGAATATTTCCTTTGATCTTTTAAAATGCTGACAATATGTTAAAACTTCAACGATCTTCTTCTCCAATTCTGCCATTGCAATATTAACCACAATTAATATATGTATTCCTCTAGGGGCCCTTACCAACTTATGTTACTTTTTGGAGCCATTAATATTCCAAGATGGCCACCACAAACTCTAATTGGTTAACAGCCTATACCAATATATTTCGTTAACGATATCAAACACGAGGTTGATCTTTGGATATCATATAGAGATAGTCAAGGGCAAACTTTTTCTTTCATACTGTTTTAACGAAAAATGTCAACTTCCGGTTTTCGGCAGGGGTCAAAGTTAAAATGCACTATATTGGGTACCAACCTTAAAAAATCTTCTTCTTTAGTTTCACAAGATCTAGAGTCTTGATATTTAATAATAAAGATTCTGAGATGTCGGGGTCTTAGTTTTGAAAAAATGGTTGACATTGATCAACTATCAAGGTCACCATCAAGGTCACAAACTTCATATGTGCTATTTCAAGATAATGACTTCAAAAAACTTCTTCTAAAGTTCTACAAGGCCTAGAGTCCTACTATTTAATACATTAACATGGTCAGATGATTGACTATCAAATTTGAAAAAATGATTGACCTTGAATGACTTTCAAGGTCACAGAGGTCATATGTGTAAAAATATTATAACCACTTTTTCTGAATAACCAATAATTCCGGGGTAACGATGTTTGGCAAAGAAGCATGCTTGAATGAAGGGCTTTAAAGTGTATGCAAATGAATGACCTTGACCTACTCTAAATATAATTTCAAAATTGAAAGTCAAAAACCGTTTTCATTTTTGTGCGATTGTGAAGTGCTTTCAGTACTCTCAGTACTTTGATTTATATCAAGACATCGACTACACGCTGGCTATACTACATCGATTACTACGCACTCTCAATCTTAAAAGTAGGGACAGTTTACATCTCTACTGCGGTGGGTAAACATCAGCCTGTCTTTGGCATGGCAAACACAACCGATATAGACAAAAACCTTTTTCAATTCACCATCCTCATACATAGTGGACGGACTATATTTTACGGACTACCTTCGTATACAACACTGCCCATTGGCTGCCTATATTTATCCAGTCTTTCTCTGACGTCCTTTCAACTCTGGGAATCCCACACTACTCAGTCAGCTACTGTAGACTTGCACAGTTTATTAACAGAAGGCCAAATCAGTCCTTACAGTGAAAAGCCCGTCAAATTGTTAGCCAACAATTTCTAGTTGAAATTGTTATTGACTCTTCATATGAATTACCACAATAATATACATGTACCAATCAACTGTAGGTAACTGATAAAGTCATTTAGTGGTAACTAAAAGACAGTCAAGAGGGGAACATTTTGTATAACATACCAATGACTCAATCAGCATCTGAAGTGATGGACTAATAGACTTGAGGGTGAGTTTCTCCAACATCTCTGCTACTATAGTTTGACACTTCAGGATGGTTGCCACATCAGTCTGAAAGAAAAGATCATAGCAACTATGTGCCAACTTGGGGACTGTTCCACTTCAAAACATGCCCTACCATTCGAAGGCATAATAAAACAATTTGTGTGGTAAGTGTGTTTGGAGGTAAGGCTTACATCACATTATGAATTAAATCCACTACTTATGATGGTGCCCTCCAAGTGACATCAGTATTTTAAAATGGGACAGTCCTATTAACCATTTTCTAAACATTTGGCAATATAACTGATTTGAAAAGTGTTGAAACATTTGAGGGCCATTTTAAAATCATGAAGTTAAAGTATTTTTTCTGCAGCATAATGCAAAAGATGTAATTTTTTAATGTCAAAATGTCACCACAAATTTTAAGAGATTCTTATGTTGAAAAAGCATTGCTATAAAAGCTGCAATATTTTCAAGTAACTCACCTTTTCTGTCCTGACCTCCTCCTGTTTTGATTCTGCGGCAGTCAATAGTAAAGATTTTTCAGCATCCAGTTCTGAGATGAGAGCTTTAAATTCTGCAGCTTTAGCGAAGTCCTGGCTACGAACATGCTCCTCCAGCTCCTCTTTTGCCTGATTTAGCTTCACCCTCACGCCAGCGATCTGTTCCAACAAACATAGTGGATCAACAACAGGTCATCTTCACTTCACATTTCCTGAGAATATCAACCTATTCATAATTTAACCATCATCATTTCTAAACTGCACTTGTACTGATCCAGAGAGAAAACTTCCTGACAAACTGAAATGGTCACTTCAGTGTTCAATTTAAAGACAGAATATTTAAACAAAGCTTTTTATAAAGACACATTATAGTGTTTTACGGTACATTGATGATTCACTATTACTTGATATAGTATAAGACTCCCCTTTTAAGGTTAGCTAATATGAAAAAAATTGTGTCAGAGGAGTTTCATAAATCTCAAGACATGGAAAATGTAAGATGATTTTTATCACAAGAATGTTTGGGCCGTTGTGTAAAACACACTTTCCAAAATCTAAAATTCTGCCATTATTATTTTACACAATAGTCATATTATAAAAGAATATGAAGTGATGTAAAAATCGGTACTTTCTTATAACTGTCTGTCCTCTTTATGCAGGTTATTTTCCAACAATATTACCTTGATATCATTTTGCCTTCTTGCATCGTCATCCAAGCCCTTCTCTACCACAGTAATTGGTTCACGGATCTCAGATATAGTCTCTGCGAAGTAGTTGATGGCCCCGTCGGAACTGCTGTGGAGCCCACACAGGCGGGGCACCACATACTTCACCAGGTGGTGACCGATGTGGTCAGTCATCAACATGTCATGAAACAACTTCTCCACAGCTTTCCTGTAAACATACACAGAATGTTCTATAACACTACACCTCCTATTGCTTTCACCTGGAAATAATTGCCGCATTTTAATATTTTCACATAGTAAAATATATTCCAAGTTGAATTTCTAATGTTCCCTATTATAAATTCATAATGAATATTAACCTATTCACTTGGCCTGCTCTGTGATGTAATCATATCACTTATACCCAGCCACTTCAATATTAAAAGTAATATTACAAAATTTTAATTATCATTTCAAATTCAAAGTTTACAAAGTGTTAAATCTTGGCATGATCAATTTCAGGAAATTGATACTTCGAACTTTCCTTTTAAAATTGTCTGTTAACACAGTAACGCTTTGAACTTTGATGTCTAATTGAGTAAAGTCATTCAAAACACTCTACTCTGACGTGTGCCGAGTGAGAATGAATACCAATTGAAATTATACATTGTACTTCATTGCCAGAATGGAAAAACATGACTACTCATTCTAATTTTTTAGACAGGTTTAAGTCTACGTTACAATAACAAATGGTATACCTGGAAGCATTGTCTGCCAGTTCCATGAGTTCTACAAGCAACAATAACTGCTTAAGAATAAACTCTTTCTCAACTTGATCTTCCAGGTCCTCTACTGTCTTTAGACTGTCTACAAAACTACAACAGGACAAAAGATGACACATTAAATTAGATGTACACATAAATGATAAACCATCAAATAAAGCAAATAACATCTTGATTAAATCTAGGTCTTTCTATACAAGTATCATTTTTATACAAGTTAATGGTTTCCACCCCTCTGTATTTTAGTTGGTTTTCCCTACACAATTTATAATTTGATTATTCACTATTTCCTTTAAAAACCTGCAAATAAACCACCATCCCCAAATTTGTCCACTTACATAATATTGCAATGAAGGAATTATCTAGACTGATCTTTATTAGTCGTAAAAAATCACCTACATAGGAATATTTCCCGCTAAATTTACAACAGGAATTCCACGGAAGTGGACATGGCACCTGTCACTGCTGGTGGCCAATTTGATTTTTCGGGTCTAGTTCATATTCAAACTTGAGAGGGTCATTGAACATCATTATGGGAAAGTTTCATAAAAATCTAAGCATTCCTTCAAAAAGCTATCGTATGGAAACTATTTGTGAGGATGCTGCCACCAACAGAGTTATCCCTATGTCACCTCAGTTTTGCAGACAACAACAAAATATGTTCTCCCAATTCCTAGATTGATACCTTCCACAAATTCACAGATAGATAACATCATTGAGTTTTGTTACCATCATTGAGGTTCGTTGCTTCAGACAGAGGACATGTATAAAGAACTAAGTATGGTTCCTACTGTCTGTTACTCCTACCTTGTAATGTATTCACACAGCTTGAGACAGTTAGGTAGTACTTTATCCAGCTCCTCCTCTCCCTCTGTACCCTTACTGTGGATGTGTTTACACAGAGTCTGCCAGTACATAGCACTCTCACAGGTCAGCTTCTCAAACGGGATCAGGATACTACAACCAACATGAATCAAAAATGTTTCTCTTATGACTGCTATAGGTTTCATCACTCCAAGCCCATTGTTTAATTAATGCATTTATTTCACCTCAAGTTGGATGACATCACACTTTCTATATTTACTTTAATGTTATTATAAATGGTAGAAACAATATCCAACTCGTGATCAATTGTGATTTAATGATGATAAACATCTTTCTCACTTGTACAACCTACTTATATTCTAAAATCTACTGAGAAAAGACATACATTTATTTTCTAGATAAGAGTGAACATACTTTTCATCAAGAAGATCAAACTTCTCAACCAAATCCTGGAGTGGTGATGGTTTGAACAGAGCATACAGTGCTAGCTCACAGGTTTCTGAGGACGTTTCCACGTCCAGACTGGTCAGCAGCTCCAAGGCATTGCCCTCCAACATCCTAAGCCATGCCTGTAGCAGCTTGGCAGCACAAGCATCCTTAACAGAGTCTAAAACAAACAACTTTCCTTACTATACTCTAAAACCTTAAAAATGAGACAAGCTAAGTTTTTTCCCCTTTTTAGTAAGAAATCTGGGTCTTATTTGAGATCAGCTAAATTCCACGGTTGTCATATTTTCATTGCATTTTGTCCGTGTATTTTTCTAAAATATTGCAAAGAAATACTGTAGCGCTTCCCAGTCCAGGATAGGTTGTCATGCTTCTCTCCCATTGTTCCGAGTCAAACACATCAATGAAACAAGCGTTCTGATTGGAAGACTTCAAACTGGTGTTGTTCAATCAGAACTCTTGTTTCAATGTTGTGTTTGACCTAAAGCACTACTGGTCAAGGAGTTGGAAGCTCTGTCATTTTATCATGAGCAAGTTGTATATTAAAGTAGGACTACACACACCCATCACCTTCCATGTTAAATCCATGAAACTCCTTGTTTAACAAAATGACATTCTTTTGGTGCAGTCTAGAAATAATAGATATTGCTTTCCAAACTGTTTGACTAGTCAAACAGGTCTTAAAATTTTCCATGAATTAGTTAGTGACAGACCAGGTGAACTTATAGTTTTCTAAGAAGAAAGTGCCGGTAAAGGCTTCCATCAATGTAAGGGCCCTAGATCTGCACACAGTTACCTGCAGTGTCAGTCAAGCCATCTTGGAGAAGCTGGATACGGTGAGCAATAGACAGAGCTTTAATGTGGACTTTCTCTCCCATCACCATGTAGGCCATCTTCCTGACGGTATCGTTAACATCCCTGGTACGGCTCAGGATAGCAGGTAATGTCTTCGTAGAAGGGGCAATGCAGGATAGGACTGCACGTCTGACGTCCGGACTAGTGTCAGCATTGATCAGGAATAGGTAGGCTTCAAGGTAAAACAAAATAGATATGCATATATGTACTGCTTAATACCAAATAAGAGATGTAGCATTTCTCATCCCAATTATTCAATTGTAATGCTAAGACAGGGTTTGCATAAAATATTTCTTTAATTTCTAAATTTCTTCTGACAACATAACTTGTTTGCTTGTGTTTTATGTCCTATGAACAGCTATGGTAATTTAAGGATGTGGCAGGTTTTGGTGGTGGAGGAAAGCCAGAGCATCCAGACAAAAGACCACAGACCTGCTGCCAGTACCTGGTGACTGCCCCACACAGGCCTCAAACCCACGACCCAGTAGTTGAAGGCTAGTGGTAGCAGAATACCAAAATGCAGAGTAGATGTAGAATGGATGATAAAACCTACCTTTAATGACAGGGCAGTTGTCATCATGTGGATCCTGGAGACGTGCCAGTGCCATAACAGCATGGAAGCGAACCACCGGCATCTTGTCACGAAGCCTCTCCAGCATGCTCTCATAGATCTTATCATACAAGTCATCGTCTATCTGAGCATTCTCACCAAGGTTGCTTAGCATCTTGTTGATAATCTGACAACATCGGAATCTCACAGCTTTGTCTTTTGCAGAGTGAACCTGTAAAATGGGGTCCAATTTGCATAATATAAACAGAAAGTGATATCAATACAAGTGCTACATAGGCGTTTGATGTTTCCATAACAAGAATAAAATATATGGTCATGCTACAATTGATCAAAGTTTTTGCCTGTAAGAAAATTACTACCAGTAGCTGTTTTTCACTGCTTACAGCATGATCATGAGAGACAAAGCAGGAGCTTCTTTGTTGTCCTTAGCACTGAGTAGGGGGCTTTTCATGTTTCAATATCATCATTGTCTTAACATGGCAGATCCTATGACATCCATTCAGAGGACAGACCAGTATATAATTTGGTCAGTGGAAAAGTGTCTAGTTGCACTTTAAGTTGTCTTTCATTAATTCAATAAAGTTGACTCCTATTTAAGAAAAGAGTACTCAAACTTGGGCGCTTTAAGATTATTGAAACATTTAATTCATGCCAGCTTGTTCCAGTCTACTCAGCTGTAAATAAGTACGTGGTTGGGCAGCGCTAGATTGTTGGATGTTTGAGACGACCTACGAACTAGGTTATGATAAAGCGGTATATATAAGAACCTCAAATTATTATCATTATTATATGGAAGCCCATTAGACAGACATTTGTTCATCATTGCAAGATCAGCAAATAAATGAAAACCTTCCATTTCATTGGCTGAGAATAATTTTGAAATACAATGCTTACTAGTTACTTTCAGAGTTGGGAAGATTTTTCCATTATGTACTAGTAAATGACTATTTTTTTCATGTAAATACAATGTAGTACTATGCAATACCTGAAGAAGAAAAGTGAAGACTTCCATGAGAAGGTTATTTCCGGCGACATTGTCTAGTGTAGAGTCTGCACTAGCATGAGGAGCTTCCTCTGGCTCAATGGATGTGATGAATTTAGTGATGAAGTCAATGGTTCTTTCAATAGCTGGTTCACGAGTGAATACTATCATCGAATATTTCATCAGCAAGTTAAATTCTGACCAGAAAGCAGCAAACTCAGTCTGTACAAAAATGAGGAAAAAACACTGTAAAATAGCTTAGATTATCAATAACACAATGCAAACTAGATTATATTTGAAGAGAGTTATTTCTCCATTTAAATGCATGATATAATTTGATTATCTATGAAGCAATTCAAGATCATTTATATCTGATGAGAGCCAAAATTCAGTTTAAAAAATATATACCCTAACCTGATCTTAAATATGAAACATCAAATAGTTGAGTGATTTCTATACATTTTTTTGAGAATGTTGCTCTTCAGACAATTTGTCACTTTATTTTAATGATCTGTGATATAATAACCATCTCTTGCAAACTGTTATTTGATACCATTATTTTCCTTACCCAGATCTACCAATTATTGTCAGCCAAAAAAATGGAAAACATTAAGTTGCCTGCTCCAGCATAGTTCTGGAGCTGAATTAACTTAAAAACTGAATTTAGCCTTTTCTTTCTTTCTCCGTTTTAATTTAGCCGGTTTGATTTTATATGGAAAAATTGCTCAAATGGCCCATTGATCTCAGTTTCAAGGAGCTTTTGTGCTCTACTCCAACATTTACCTGTTTGAACACTTTCTGAAGGGATTTTATCAGCTGACCATGTCCCTGCATGCTGTTCTGGCATTGGTTGAAGATTTCCTTCATACTCATTTGCTTTTGGGACGGCATTTTTTAAAATTATTTATCAGCCTTTTATACCTGAAAAATCAAAAAGAAAAATATAACCAATACAAGTTTACGACACATTTCTGACCTAACTTACAGTATATATCGAGATTTGGGAGGTAAAACAAATACCACAATATATGTACTGTGCTGCAGTACCACCTGATTTTATGATTGATAATAATGTAGCGGAATTGGACTGGGTCAACCGTTGGCGACCAGATAGCTCAACGGGTAGAGCGTCCGTCTAAAAATTTTGAAGGGTCCCAGGTTTGAACCCGTCTGGCTGTGCATTTTTCAACTCCTAATAATAAGTCAATTCCCATCTAAATTAATGGCAATATATTTGCCTCTTTTTTTTAAATTCCCTCAACAATTTTAGCAACTTTAGAACAAGAAAGCACCGTCAATGTTAACTATTAAAAGAATATAACATGTCTACTTTTTACTGCAAGTATTGTGGCATTCTTTTGTTTTGGTTTGAAAGAATGAGAGGAAAACTATAAAATTCAAAAAAAACCTGAGGTTTATTTATCTAGATCTCTGCTTGGCCACATTACAGTATATTTCAGCAATTTTCGTTTAAGAATCTTTCCGCATTTGGACTAACATTTAACTTGTACATTATTTGCTTTTTGTGTCAAGTGTGTTGATATTTTAAATTTCAAGATTCTTCACCATTTTTCTGTATCGGAAGTCTTGGGTACAATGATTGCAATAAGCAGAGAAAATTAGTCTTGTTCAAACAGAACAATTATAACGGGCACATGTTAACCAATCCGTCGAAGCAAAAGAAAACGTTTAAATTATAAAAATAGGCTATTAGCCAAAAAATACTATTTAGACTAAATCAGTATGGCAGTTATGTGGGAGAACGAGACGGCGGGAAAAGAAATTGCAAACAGTAAATTTGATATAATTCAGACCCCAGGAAAGTTCTCACTAATATATTAACATTAATTAATATCATAGGTAAATCTTCAACGTCTCAATCAAATATGTATCCCACAATATACAACAAAATGTGGTATTATTTACCAGAGATCCACCTCGTCATTTAAACTTTGCGCCGTTCACGTCAGTTCCGCCAGGGGAGATAATCATGTGCATTTGATAGTCTTGCAACAGTCCCAGTTTCTTGATACATAAAAAAAATCGATGTCTTTTTATGGTACTTATTTTCTATAAATTAATTAATTTAATTAATAGTCATACAATTCTTTAATAGTTTATCTTTCAAAAAATCATTAAAAGCATTAACGCGAAGTAGCCTTTATTGATTCCTTTGACTGACTGAGTTTTGGTGAAAGCGTGTATTAGTTCTAGCGCTCTCTGATTTGTACCGTTCTTGCTACTTGTTTGTATCATCGATATGATATTTTTATATGTTCTGCCTAGTTAGGAAAAAAAGTAATAGTTCTCCAAACCCTTATTATGGGACAAGGGGAGACCTGCCCCAAAAATTGATATTTCAATAAATTCGTATATTACAGCGATACTAAAATCAATGTTAGACATGTACCATCATATGAAATGAGTAAAAAGGAATTCGGTTTACAGCAATTTCTCAAAACTGGAAAGAAGTTAAGGAATTATTTTCTTTCTACCCTCCTAAAAGTAACTTTCTCCTTTTTAGTAATTTGATGAATAATATTTGAGTTTTGAACTGAATTGCTAAGATCCTAAAAGTTGTCTGTAACTATTTGCTCAAGACCAAAAATATCAGGGGTGGTCGAACTTACCCTGGGGCCGAATTTACCCCGGTATCGCCTATTAGAGTTTCTGTATCTTGTATGTTATATCCGGCTTGATTCTGGAGCATCTGCTCAGCTGTATGTCGGTTCACAGTAAATCTTAGTCTATCTAATACGAAACATGTACGGTGCAAGCAAGTCATTCCAACTGTGACACTAACTGTTATATATATATATACAACTGTTAGTGTCACATCATATATATATATATATATATGATGTTGTCATTTGATTTTCGGTGCGATTCACTCCTTCGTCAAGACTTAGAAAAACACGGAACAGTTACACAATATTAGAACTAAATAAAACATAACATAATAAATAGATAAAGGAGCAGATCGCTCTGAAAACATTGACAACCTAAGATAGGCCTACCTAGCAGAGTACAGTAGAAATGGCCTGATCCTAAAAATAAAGGGCATGTCTCAGATAAACATGCATAGCGGATTCATCCTGCACAACACACCTACATATATATATATATTTATGAACTTCATTTTGAATTTTTTTTTAGAAGAATGATTTTTTTTAAAAGTGATTTCCCCAGATTAGATTTGGGACTTGTGAAAACGATGGTTACCACATCATAAACCGCCAAAAATTGCAAAAAAACATGATTTTTAACCCGAAATTTGACCCACACAAGCGGTATTTGTTTTCCTAACACCTGTCTTAACTTAAATATCGTCTTTTCGATAACAGAAATACTCACGTTTTAGCATAGGTCATACCGGTGGATTTTTTTTAACAATATTTACACATGTGCTGAGTACAAAAATAGACTACATGAAAAGCAAGCTTTTGTTGTGTACACACATTTTGTAAATGGCAAAATATGTAGTCTCAAACCAAATTCGATTTTTTTTAAATGTGAAGCCCGCATAGTCCACTTCATCATGTATATGCCAATTTAGTACTGATTTAAAACAAAAATGATGCATGTAATATTACAGGGGTTATTCATCGTACAAAAATATCACCGGTGGCCACGGTACGCTACTGTATAACGCTACCTCAATGTGTCTATACACTGTTAGAATAACTTCCTTGCCCATATACCAATTTTAAGTAATTCTTATCCTCCAAACATACGTTGTAAGGATCCAGTGTGATATGGGATTTTATCGTTAATGTTACTTCTTTGACTCAAATAAAAAGGAATTTTGCACAAGTGACAAATGAAGACGTATGAAATGTTCGAGAATCCTGTTTATGTAACAGCTTCTAGAACGACTTTTAAACAAAAAATTCCATCTACACAATTACTAATGTTTGAATCATACCTTAACCAAAGTCAAGCACGTCATTTTTTGTTTCTTCTTTCTAACAGATTGCAGTATTTCCAACCTACCATGTTTGTGGTGTTCTGAGCTTTGTTACCATCAATATATTTGTACATCCATTGTTATCAATTATTTTTGTGACCAAACAGGGCTATTTTCAAAAAGGAAATCATTCGTTATAGAAGAGAACGTCATCTTCTCGTAGCTAAGAATAAGATTTTTTCTAAATTTACAATTATCGATGAAGTGTTGTTATAAAAATGAGCACGTCGATCGTATATATCCTCCTGAACTTGAAATATACAGTTCCTTTTACACAGGAATAAACAGTACAACCATTTAGCTTTCATCTTCAACCACACGCAACACGCCAATTAGCACAATGTATAGTGACACTACTCATTTGTACATCAAGGACTTCCTTTTCTTATTAACACTTTTTAATCAAATTTGATAACTTCTTTTTGTCCACGATTTCCATAATTTGCTTACTTTTGTACATTCTAGGTCTAATGTAGTAATACTTCTTAACAAAACACTTGCTTAAATGTACATAATAATCACATTTTTATACAAAACGAAATTCATCTTCGATGAATCCTTTCAATTCTTTCTAAATTATTATACCGACCAAAGTCATCATTCAATTAGTGAAAAGACAATTTAGTTTTTGTAATCTCCTTCAAATAAGTATATATATATAAAAAATATCTGAGTTAATATTTTCTTATCGCATTCTTGCTCAAATACATCACACATTCTATTTTTGATAATGCTCATAATACAATCGGAAGTACAAGTGTCTTTATATTGCCCACATGTACCCTATTCCTATTCTATGTAGTGTATTTCCTACTCTTTTCTTTTAATTCATTTAGATATGCAAGTAATATAGAATTGTCAATGTATTTTAGTTTTAACTAGTATTTGAACATTCGAAATTTTCCGATCATGTCCGAAGTCAATTTTTGGAAAAGTATGGAATTGGTCGCAGATTTCTGTACACCTAATAATCTTTTACAATACATTGAAAGAATTTCGACAGAATTTATAATTACTCTTTACACAACATTTTACATCTCTGTACACAGAACTACTATATTTACTAACATTTTACGGCCTATATCCTCTGTGATAAGTTTATACCACGAACTGTATGGCACTTCAGGTTCTTCATCACAACAGACATTTCAATCAAAATCGTAGTATGGCTTCGGAATTATTTGCTATTTACTATTAACTGAGCACAATAGACGTGCCCACAACACTTTTAAACCTTATATAAACGATGATAAGCGATGATTTTTTTCTTCTTCTTTTTTTTAAAAAGAGATTTTAGTTTAGCTTCTTGTTCTTTTTATCCAACACTTCATCATACTGAGGTGATACGAAAAGTTCATTTTAGCTTTGCTAAGTCAGTCTTTTTGCGGTTTCGTAAAGAAGACATGAGTTGATAAGAGGTTTACTATTAGTCTAAAATCTTCTTCCTCTGCGATATCTATAATATATAAGAATGTATATGTACAGAAAAAAGAATTACTGCTAAAACAAAAAATATCATTATTACAAAGTACTTTTCTATTTCTACGTGATATTTGCTTGCCATTTCTTAACTATCTTTAAAATTGCCTGCATGCTGTTTATCCATGTTATTCCGTCTTTGTATTCAATATTTGTCGCAAGAAAAGCACTACAAACCTAATGTAAATTGTTTTAAATATGCGACGTTTAATAAAAACATCTTGTACGGCGTCCTTACATTTCTCAGAATCCAACTTATGAAACATTACGGCATTTGTCTGAATCCTATTAGCAAAAAGTCCCGTCACTTATTGTTTTGTAATTGTTTCTGGTTGATTTATGCTCCTTTGAAAACAAAGCAAGTAATGATTAAAAATGAACATGAAAACGAGAGAAAGGGATAACACGTGTATTTGATATGTTTGACCTCTGAAGTATAACAGTATGACCTTATGTATATGTGACGTTCCATTGATTTATGTAGGTTTTTGTTATGTTTACAATACATATTATCAACGAACAGCAGTAATACACATGCATAACCAGCAATTAATGCAATAAACAAAAAAGCATTTTAAGGTAAAGTTGTACACAACGGAATGGTCCGTGATTGGGGACAGGCACTCCGACGGTCGAATACATATAATGTGTAATGGTCAAAACAGGTAGGCTGTCACAGGTGAGGCACGGCCCCCATTGTCCAGTCCGGACTGTCATAAACTCCAACACCTTATGCTAATTGGGGTTAATGTCCGGGCCGGTCTGGACAATAAGGTGCACGCGCTCAGATACATCGGCATTTATTAGGTTGATCGCCAGGAGAGGAGGAACTACAGAAGGGAGCTGGTCACCACCAGAGTGGATACATATCATATAGGTATGGATATTTTCTATCTTATATTAGTTTCATGTTTATTATTACTTTACGTCTTCCGAATTATCATTTATACATATATACAGCACAATACATATACATATATACATATACATGCACACATAATGTTATGTTATGTTGCACCTTACAATAGTGGAGAGTGAACATCAGATCTACGATAATTAGAAGTAATACTATCTATCAGATCTATGATAATTAGAAGTAATACCATCTATCAGATCTACGATAATTAGAAGTAATACTATCTATCAGATCTATGATAATTAGAAGTAATACTATCTATCAGATCTATGATATTTAGAAGTAATACTATCTATCAGATCTATGATGAAGTAATACCATCTATCAGATCTATGATAATTAGAAGTAATACTATCTATCAGATCTATGATAATTAGAAGTAATACTATCTATCAGATCTATGATAATTAGAAGTAATACTATCTATCAGATCTATGATAATTAGAAGTAATACTATCTATCAGATCTATGATAATTAGAAGTAATACTATCTATCAGATCTATGATAATTAGAAGTAATACTATCTATCAGATCTATGATAATTAGAAGTAATACTATCTATCAGATCTATGATAATTAGAAGTAATACTATCTATCAGATCTATGATAATTAGAAGTAATACTATCTATCAGATCTATGATAATTAGAAGTAATACTATCTATCAGATCTATGATAATTAGAAGTAATACTATCTATCAGATCTATGATAATTAGAAGTAATACTATCTATCAGATCTATGATAATTAGAAGTAATACTATCTATCAGATCTATGATATTTAGAAGTAATACTATCTATCAGATCTATGATGAAGTAATACCATCTATCAGATCTATGATAATTAGAAGTAATACTATCTATCAGATCTATGATAATTAGAAGTAATACTATCTATCAGATCTATGATAATTAGAAGTAATACTATGTATCAGATCTATGATAATTAGAAGTAATACTATCTATCAGATCTATGATAATTAGAAGTAATACCATCTATTACTTATACGGTTCATAGCCCTCTTTTCTGTCAATTCATAGAAATATGTAACAACAAAATATGCCTTATAACAATAAATGCACGGAGTAACTGAAATCTGTAAAAACGTGATACTCCTGATGAGATTATATTTTTACTTTGTTAATTAAGTTTATTAATCAGTAATTACATGCATTTCCGGAAGTTTAGTATTTTTTACACGTTGTTTTACTGAGTGCATTGTAGACTAATAGTTTAATATATACATAGGTTTTGTGATAATTAAATGTGTAAAATATTTCCTACAACTTTACTTGTAATTTAGATAATATCAATTTGAATGATGATCACATGACATTGGTTTTTTTCTGCAGTAACCTCTTCCTCCATTTATAAGGTTAGACGTCACACACTTTTAGAACTTTTGAGTGATATGTTCACAACTAAATGTTAAGATAGTACTTTGCATATACATATTTTGTGTTAAATATTAATGCGTTATAGTACATTTCTGGTCAATCTTGCCTGTGTTACTATTAATTTGTAGCTGGACTGTCCTCGAATAAGAACTATACCTAACGATTTAGAAAAAAGCCCACCTAAACACTGATAACTGGCGTCACTGTTATATATGCAGTAGATGAATATTAGAGACACGTTCACGGTGATTTACAATTATCTTTTTCACATGCAAATTAAATATGACCTCTGGTTTGGACCTGCGCGTTACGTTTTCAAGATGCTATGTGCATAAGAAAAATACAGAATGTGTGTTACCATTATCATATGATATTAATTCTGACGATTAATTGTTTGGTAGACTACATCACGTTAACATCGGTGATGTTCTTGTGAGGAATTTTACCTTCAGATTTTATTTGAAAATGTTCATATTTCTCTCAAACAACCTGACACTATTTACAAAGGAATAATAACAAACAAAGCTCAGTAAAGTTAAGCATCGCTATTCTGTCGTATCTCTTTAAGTAGTAAATTCATCCTTCTGCGAAATTGTATTTTTAACAACATACCAAATAAATTTAACAAAAAGGTTATAGGCGGTACCTTAAATGAACTCGTCCATTTACTATTTAGTCCAATTATATATCGGTTTATATATATGATGTATATACGCAAGCCTTACCGAATGAAGAAAAATTCTCTTGTGAGCAGGTATTGATTGTTACGTCATTGGTTTGTGTGAGAAAATTACGTCGTTTTCTCAAAAATTAATGACGTTACTCTCACAAACAAATGACGTAACAATCAATACCTGCTCGCAAGAACAGATAACTATGCAAAACGAAAAGACGGAATAACAGGAAGTCAGTATATATGTGTAAAATCATTATATTTTCAATAAGTAATACACGAAATACATGGTCATCACATCAGGCACCTTAATACTCGGTTACCAAGTGGAACTAATTATTTTACAACTGGATCATTAGCTATAGTAAGTGTCTTCACCTGATACGGATATATTAAGAGGACATTTTGAACATGTGCTGTTGCCTTATGGTAACGATTTTCGTGAAAATGCATTGTCGTTAATAAAAATGGTTTCACGATAAAATATAAATAGGAACTGTTGTATAAACATTGCACGTGTTCGCTGTTACAAATACAAAGTTGTAATATATATTTTTCTAAATATAGATGGTGAAATATTAACCTTATGTTTTAAAGTCTATTTTATATCAAAGATAGATAATAAAAAAATCCTGTAACTATTCTTTGATCTATTACATCATGTACATTTTAATTTGTGCCTTTTCCTTAAGATAAAATGTGGTTTTGATAATTAAAATCTACGTTATATTTTACCTGATAACTCATCAATTAATGACTAATTTTACACATTACATAGATTAAAAATCAATTAACCCACCCCAGAAACCCATGTATTCATGGCGCAGGTATTAACTGTTTATAAATAGAACTAAATATGTAAATATCCTAGATTTATTGCAGATGATACGTTCATTAAATCTGAAATTAGTTTCTTTTCAAAGAATTTTTTAAAAAGGACACAAGCAAAACGGATGTCATTATCAATATCCTTTACATTAGCTGTCATTTGATCCTGTAGAATTAAAGACAGATACGTTGTTTCTGACAATTATTAATGCTATATTTAGTATGTAAATACAGGGGGTATTATAATAATGTTTATTTAGTATGTAAATACAGGGGGTACCGATATATTGTCAATAAAAAACCCTATGCTTTTACAGACAAACCAAAAGATTATTAATAGCCAAACATGTACTGTTAAAAAAAGAAGAAGTAAACTTTCAATGCTAATCCCTTTTACAGATATACCAATAGTCTTTAAACAATATACTCTATGATGTTGCTTTAAGTTGCATTAAAGGTAGGAGCAACTTCTATTATTTTCCTAGCCATAACGACGTTGCTACTTTAATTTTGTTCCAGGCCTACCCTAAACGGATAAAAAAAATGCAGGTTTACGCCACTGTCTTCTTCCTAGTCCTCGCCGTCCTCTACCGTACGACGCTGTCTGACCATGACAGTGGGGAGGTAGACTTCGATGACAGTGATACAATGTTCTACAACCCGTACGAACAGTTCACCCAAAGTAAGTAATATATTACTTCTCATTCCCTCTATATTGAACAGTCCAACCAAAGTAAGTCGTTTATTGGATATCATTCCCTCTTTCTTGAACAGTACACCCGAAGTAAGTCATTGGATATTTTAGCCATCGTATGTCATTTAAGAGACATCCTTTTCATTCTTTTCTTTATATAAAGCAGCAGAATTCCCTTCAGGTTGAGAGACGTTTATTATGAAGATGACAAATTGATAAATATTTACACAAGTTTGACGGGTACTAGGAACGACAGGAAAAACTGAATTCAAAACAATGATAGACCTTTTGATATCAATGTTGAAGATTTCTTACCAGTAAATAATTTCTTAAGTGATGATGAGTGACTGTATGGTATGTATTTGAACATAGAACATCGATAAAAAGCCAGTTGAAATATCTTTCGACTTATGTCTAAACTCTTAAATCTACTACATGACTATTTAAAGTATGTTTCCTGGGGGAATCAAGGAGTCACACGTATATCACATGCTGCGAATTACCAGATAAGGATAATTTAAAAAAGATATCAATGAAGATGCATACACAATTGGCAAAAAATCTGCATTTTATTTTCTAATCATGGATTTGATATATTTGTGTAAAGAACATAAATATGCCTGTTCAGAAGTAGTAATCAATTTTAAACTTTCCCCATATCTCAGCATGTGACATGTATGTAAATGAAGATGTAAAACTTATACAATACATCTTGAAAAGGTACGCCAAAACAAATCGATGTATCAGGTTTTGTGAATTGTTAAGATATCTCAAATTACCTTAATTCTGATAATTAGTGTTCAAGTATTACAGATATAACCATACTGTATATAAATTATGTACTGCAATGAAGACAAATAATACCACTTTGCCCCATTTTCCTGTCCTTTTGAGACGATTGCTGACTTTGTTATTGCACTGATAATAAATAAAGTTGGTTATAAGAAAGTGAAAAACCTTGTGTATCGCAACATGACTGGCAAGTATATGTGATACAAGTCATATAATGTCTTGTTGAATGTCTGATTGTAATATGATTAAAACAACTCACAATAACATTAAGAAAGTTACATCTTATATAACATTAAGAAGTCTAGTATTTTGAGATATCTTTTGGGCAAATTCATAATAGAAAACAAGTATCTTGAAGACTAAAAATCTACAAAATATGACCCTTAAAAAGTCTTTTGTGGGGAAATTCAAGATGCTTTCACAAACATTTAAAAGGGTCGAAGAGAAAGCAATTTTTTTATTGTCCATCATTTATACTACACTTGATTACGTGTATGCTTTTGTGAAATTTAATATGTTTTCGTTTGCTTTGAGGCATTTGCTTACAAAAACAAAAATAAAGGAAAAAATCATAGTTATTTTTTTGTTTCGGGAAAACACATTTTTCATTACAAAAAGGCCAAAGACACATCTTTTGTACGTATCTTATCGTTTATGTAATAGGAACCATTTGAATTTTATTACTCATGTCAGACGAATGTTGGAGGTGCTTTAAGTACATTTGTAACTGACAATCCATATTCCAGTAATTCTGCTACCTCAATCTTATTTCTTCCATTAGTCTGAATCTGGAATTAAGTCATTTAAGTTTAATGAAGCAGGATTTGATAATTTGAATGAATTATTGATCACGTCCAATTGTACATGTATTTTATACGTGGTCTTGACTTATCACCAACTACGTCATATATAACAGGGAATGCATGTTTACAGAGATCGTAACATGACAAGGTAAATTATTATTTTATGTTCCTAGATTATATGCAACGGTCTTCTTTAAACATGTCATGACCTTGCATTTACAGGTAAAATGACCGGTGGTCAGATTGGTCAGTCTGATGATAAGGACGATGCTCAATACATTTACGTCACTCCGTCCGGTGGTCAAATGATCGGTCAGAACACTGGCCAATTTAATACTTTCGTTAGCCCAGGGGGTCAATTACGAAATAAACCTGATGATTTGGATGACCAATACGTAACCATTGGTCAGCCAAATAGTCAAAACAGATGGCAACCTCAAAGCCAAACAACAGGAAAAACAGTATACACACCAGCAGGCACATTTGCTCAACAGAATAATGGCCAATTTGTTGGTCAAACTGGTAGTCAATTTACAAGTCAGACAGGGAGGCAATTAGGCATCCAGAACGTGAATCCCTTTATCAGTTCCACGGCCATGGAGATAGAAGATGACCAATACGTACACGCAAGTCACATGACCAGTCAAACTGGCAGTAAAAGTATTCCTCAGTCAACTGGTTTAAAAGCGGTTAATTCACAAGGCAAAACAGGTCAAATGTTAATGGGTCAATCTAGTGATAGGGACGATGACCAATATGTATATGTTGGTCCACAGGCTAGCCAAAACATGGGTCTATTCGATGGTCAGTCTGCCCGCCAGAAAACTATACCGTATACCATTCATTCAACTGGTCAGTCAAACAATATAAATGATAAGAATGATGACATATATTTACCTGTTGGTCGGTCGGGTGGTCAAATGGGTATTTTCAATGTACCAGCTACTAGTCAAAATGCTGGGCCCTATACTGTTCAATCTATCGTTCAGTCCAACGACCAACACGATGAAAAATACTTGAATGTTGGTCATTCGGGTATCCAAGCAGGCATTTTTAATGGTCAAATTGCTAATCAGAAAACTGTTCCATATACCGTTCAATCAAGTGGTCAGTCCAATGATAAAAATGACGATCAGTTTGTACACTCTGTTCAGCCATACAACAATCAGAACGATGACAAATTCTCACCCGTTGGACAGTCGGGTAGTCAAATGGGTATTTTTAATGGTCAGTTTGATAGTCAGAATACTGTGCCATATACCGTTCAGTCAATCGGCCAATCAAACGAAAATTATGATAAGAACGATGACAAATTTGTACCTCTTGGTCAGTCGGTTGGCCAAGGTGTTAGTCAGTTCATTCGTCAACCATTTGTTCAGGGAGGTGCAACTGTAATAGGTCAACAAAATATTGGTAAGCCGAGTGGTCCAGTTGGTATTTTCAATGGTCAGTTTGCTAATCAGAATACTGTCCCATATTCTGTTCAGTCAATCGGTCAATCAAACGAAAGAATTGATCAGAACGATGACACATATTTATCTATTGGTCAGTCAGGTGGTCAAATAAGTCTTCTAAATGGTCAACTTACTAGTCAGAACAACGTTCCATATAGTGTTCAGTCGATAGGTCAGTCCATCGATAACAATGATGATCAATTTGTACATACAGGTCAGCCAATCACCCATGCTTCAACCCAACCCATTATATCTATATATGACGATCAGAATGATGACAGATACTTACCAGTAGGTCAGTCGGGTAGTCAAGTAGGTAGCCAATTCACTGGCCAACCACTGGTTCAGGGAGGAGTTAATGTACTTGGTCTACAAAATATTGGTCAAACCTCCATAACCATTGACGGAAATAGTGAACTAGGTGTTAGCAATTATATTGGTCAACACTATGATGACCAACCGGATGTCCAAACTATTGTACAGACAGCGGGTCAGTTTGTGTCTGAAGCCAATGACCAGTACCCCGTTAAGCCTGGAAAGCTTTCTATTGGCCAGTACCCTGACAAACCAGATGACCGCCCGGACTTACTGACCAAATACCCAGAGTCAAGCAACGGAGAGAGAGATGGTACTATTATAGTATTAGTTGTGTATTTAGTCATAGTCGCCATTTTTATAACTATATAGTGTTAGTTTAAAGGTGACTGAAGAGGGTTGATTATAATGGTAGCATCCATATACAACTATATAGTGGACTGAAGAGGGTTGATTATAACGGTAGCATCCATATATAAAGACGTATTCGGGTTAATATCATTTATGAACCCTTCTCAACTGCATGTGTCAACAGTAGTGTTTATACCTTCAAAGACATACTCTTGTACTTAGGTATGTTCTTTCCCATCTGATGTACAATGTACACTGTCCTATTATGAGCCTTTCTCCCTTGATGACTCTCTTACTGTTTCCAGTTGTTCTCGTATCCATGTCTGCTCATCGAGGTCTCCTCATCTTCTTGTTACTCTCTGATTTACCACTGCTCCTTTATCAATATTTCCTTGTTTCCGTTGTTCTATTAATGTTTCTAATATGCCTTTCCCTAAATTCTTCCTTTTTCAAGATTGTACAAGTTTCGTTCGTCCAACATGTTCTCCTTCAGAGGCTGGTGACGTTAACAAAACAACATTTTAATTCAAATTATATATATATTTAGCTGTAGCAAGTTAGAATATTTATCATTCTTTTTGATATATTATTGTATTTATCATATATATATATATGCATGATTATGCTTGTGCCATAATCAGTATGCTGTTAGTTGTAGCAGCATGTTACATTAGTATTTTTACACATACACTTTTTGTATATACTCTTAGTTAGAGATTAGAGACATATAGGCGTGATGCAGACTTTTTGAAAATTATTACTGTAAAATAATCGTGTTTGCGCAATAAGATACACAACTTTATCATTTCTAGTTGCAAGTGGCAGCATCTGTAAAGCAAACTATCTTTTGATACACTTGTATCATGTTATGTTCCCGAGATGAAGAATGTAAAAGAAATCAAATGAATTTGCTAAACAAAATGGATGGATACATGGAAAACCAGCTCCTGTTTAAAATAGCTTTTCTAATACTCGATCGAGCGTGTTCAATATTGTTGTGTTTTACATGGAACAGTTGATGCCGGAGGATTGTGTAACAACTACAAAACGAAGGGTGGCTGGGCTTACCGACCGATCTACGGGTCGTGTAATCAGTACCTCCAGTGTAACAGCAATCACAAGGCTTCACTTCTCACATGCGCAGCAGGAACCTTCTATGACGGATCTTCCTGTCGACATTCAGCGGAGGTCTACTGTCCTTATGGTAAAATATTGATATGATACCTACGAGTACTGATTTAATAGTTAATCCAGCTACTAATCTCTTATTTTTTTTACATTTGTTTAGTTCGGCCCCATGTATAGAGTTCTATATTTTACTATGCTCAGTTCATCCTCTTTTATTGATGAGAACCTCGTCGAAAGGGCCTGATTCTGGTTAAGCTGTTTTTATCCTTCAGAGAAACAATATTTATTTCATGCTTTTATATACTTGGTAAGTTTAATTTGGTATTGTTTTGTTTAGATCCATGCCAAGCTCAAAAACCGGGGTTTAAGTACACGGACGGGCAGAGTTGCTATGGTTACTACAAGTGTATGAAAGGCAAGTCCCGGTACCACACTTGTCCAGACGGTTTCTACTTCAACTCACACAAGCAGATCTGCATCACTGACGATACTTGTCAGAAAAACAACCTCATCCACCGTGAGTATACATATAAGTGTCATTCTCTGTCAATCAATGGACTCTCTATGAGTAACACTGCCCTCTGTGAGTATACATTTAAGTGTCATTTTCTGTCCAATCAATGGACTCTCTATGAGTAACACAGCCCTCTGTGAGTGGACTTTCTTGTCATTCTCTGACTCTCCAGAAGGCAGTATAATATACAGAATAAACATAATATTTGCAGATAATCATATTTTCTGTTGTATGCTAGATACTAAAACTCATTAAACGATGATGCCTGTTACAATGATGGCAATACTCAAACACATACTGTCCTATCAAGGTATATCAATACCTCATCATTATATAGCATTTGTCTATGTAATAACATACATACTGTCATACCAGGATATTATTCATTACTAAAAAGTATGCTCCGCTTGCAGAACATAGGCACAAATGCTGTTCTAGCCTAGTAAATCTGTCCTTTCTATGACGTGTTCCTATGAAAATAAGTTATATTGCGTCTCTCTTTATACTATTTATGGCAAACATTTTGTCTTATCATTATATAACTTGTTACTATATTACAACTATAATACATACTGTCCTACCAAGAGTATACAAGATCTTTATCATTATATAACGTGTTCCTTTATTAAAACAATAGAACCTATTGTCTTTCCTTTGGTATACAATAATTGTCATTATATATAACAATGATAGAACATACTGTATTACCCTAAGTATTACAATCCTTCATCATTATGTAGTGTGTTGTTCCCACATTGCAACTATAACACATACTGTCCTACCCTTGGTTTACCATTGCTTTATCATTGTATAGCGTGTTCCTATGGAACAACCCATCCATTCCCGGGACGTCCCGAGATGTTCTACCTGTACGACGGTAGGGAGGTCTTCTACCCTATGAAATGCCCCAAGGGATTATGGTATCGTCCTGAAATCTGCTCATGCGACTGGATTGTTCCAGGCATTAGTAGCCACGAAGGTAGGGGAAATATCTCGCTGGTTACAGAGTGTGCCATGTACATTTCGGTTAATAGTTCAACATTTGTTTTACGTCAGTTGTCTCTGATCCTTGTGATTTATTTTCAGTTCAGCAAATGGCATTCCTTATGAACAAAAGGATTGATCTCATGGAATGTATGATAATTACAGGCGTATGGAAATTCCCCATCCGTTATTGTATTGTATGCTGCTTCTACATTATAGTGTTATAAGCAACGACATTTTCACATAATTTCCCCTTAGAAATGTGATAATGTAGAGAAAATAATCTGAGTAAATTCTTCATTCAACTTCAGGAACACATATTGCAGGTATTGATTAAAGCGTTCATCTTCTTAATCGAACTTTTGTTCCAGGCTGCAAACCAATGTACCACTTCCAGTACAACGGCAACTTTCTTGAGGCTTACAACAGGATCCAGCAAGTACCAAACACCGGCGTGGCAATCTACCGGAAGTCAGCACTCTTCAGCGAAGGAGGACAAATAATGGTGTGGGCCATGAATAATATGAATCTAGACAAGGAGTTTGCCTTCTGTTTCGAATTTATGTCGAAGGTCTACAATGGTGAGGTGGCGTTGCTGTCTAACGGATACAAAGGTCATGACTTTACATACAAGATCACCTACATCCCCGCCCAGTCACTGGTCAAAGTCTATATAGAACTTGACGATGATACCACGGCGCATCTGGTCGTAACTGGTGTGGTATGTACATGTATGATATTAATCTTCCACTGCATTGTACGGATGCACGTATTTGAAAAAATATCTAAACTCAATATAAATTGTATTTCATTCATTATCTTATGAAATAGAAAATATCGTATTATATACTAACAAAGGGAGATGTGGATTTAAGTATTGAAACAAATGCATTTGTTCTCTCTTGTGTCCTGGATTATATAGAACAATCATAAAGATTTTAACTACACTGTATATTGTACCACATATTATATGTATCATTAATTTCATGCAATTCTAGTGTAACTGTTTAATGTGGCACTGTGTGTAGTGATAGTGACTTTGAAGTACACTAACTAAACACTAGATCTACCCTGTTAACTTCTCTGATACTCCAATTAGACTGGTAGTCTCGATATACATATATATAAAACTGGCTTATGGGTTCGGCCTACCCTAGATTGTATCTACCTAAACTTAATATATAACATCTTTAATTTGCATGCAGTGTATGTATGTCTTTCTATATGGAAAGGGCTTTTATAGGCAGTGCCTGTGCACAATCCTATTGTTAATTGCAACAATAAAATGATATGAGATGCATTATAAATTATTTTCATTTTGCTAACATCAATTTGTTGTTTGGCATGTATTTTAGATTTCTACTCCATTATACATGTGAAATATCCCGTTAAAACAAGTAAAATAAACAAAATCGAACGAACACAAATGCACCCCACAGTGATGAGAGCAAGCGGTTAACCGTTACATGGTTATTCCTCACGTTTTGTAATTTTATTTCCAGCATCCGCTCAAACCGCATTTCGTTCGGTTAGCTAAGTACGGCAGTAAGATAAAACTCCGTATCGACAATATCAGCGCGACTATGGTGAAGACACGTAAGTAAAACTTGTTTATAAATCAATACAGTGTATATTAATATGGTACCGGTAATTAAGTATCTTTAAGGATTCACTTATGTCTAGGTGTTTACGAGGCTTTAACTGTAGTGGTGAACACACCACTATATATTTTATATTCTAAAATATAATACAAAGCCAGCCTGTATATTTTACGTAATTTTTGTGTTTATATTAAACATAACCCGAGTAATAGTTCTAACGAAAAGCACATCAGCGCCAGTATTTGAGGACTGACACTAATAACTTATCAATGAGGATGGTGTAAAGTGTTGTGTAATAACAACACCACTGTTGTATGTTATAGTGCTGTATATCATTTACGTTTGGAATATTTATCTTCCTGGTTTTGGTTTTAAGCCAAAATTTGAAGAAATTCAGCAAACATCCAGATAATTATCTACTGCTGCTTTGGGTATTATTCAGAACTGTAACCATTATGGGTTAATTGCCAAAAATATTTTTTATTGCAAAACGTCAAAGTATAGATTTTATCCTGGGATGAAAAGTGATATCTCAATAACTGACACACGGATATGATAGAAATATAACTAGAAGAAATACTAGATAATTCTCTAACAGGATGTCAAGTTTTATCAAAATTGGATGTCAAACGAAGTCAGGAAGTTTTTTTGAAATGAGCAAAATTAACATAAAATCCAACGGAAAATGACGTTATGTAAATGACTAATGACATGTCATAAACATGTGTAAATATCATTTGATTTTTCGATTTTTGTCAAATATCTTATATGAATATATCGCGGATATCTATATATAAATATTGTTTAAATGTTACTGGATGGATATTTTCGCGATTTTTATCGAATATATAATATCTTCATATATGTAAATAATGATATCGCGGTTATCTATATATAAATATTGTTTAAATGTTACTGGATGGATATTTTGGCGATTTTTATCGAATATATAATATCTTTATATATGTAAATAATGAAATCGCGGATATCTATACATAAATATTGTTTAAATGTTACTGGATGGATATTTTCGCGATTTTTACCGAATATATAATATCTTTATATATATAAATAATGATATCGCGGATATCTATATATAAATTTTGTTTAAATATTACTGGATGGATATTAAAGATGCATTTGAATTAGTAATTTACTATTCTTATGAAACTATACTCCCTGACTGTAAGCCCAAAATTGTTGATGGATCGTTAACTAATGTAAGTGTCTAAAGTAATTAGATACACATCTATGTAATTGGTTTTAACTATATATAGTATGCTTGCAGTAATGTACGCACCGTGTTCTAAGGAATTAAGTGTACGCTATCTACAATAGCAAGAAGTTAACAAAATGAGGAGAACAATCGTGTATTCCCACAGTAAACATAGCCATTCTTACACTGGATCTAATTCTATCCATTACCCATGATAATCATATAGACAGGCAGACAAGTAATTAATGCACCTGTTAATAGGCCATTAATCTAATGGTCACAAGGACCGCTTGCGACCCCGGTGACTTAGCTATGAGTTGACCTTTGGCCCTAGGCTAATGACAGGTCACCATGTCAGGGGTAATTATTAATTCATGTCTTTGTGTGGTAAATGTGTCGAGGTAATTAAATCTCTATCACAGACATGCTGCATGGTCATTAGTACCCATGGGTGTAGTACCGTACATGCACGTCAACTAAGTAGCCGGCGTATATACTATAGAAATGTAATGTGTTTAATGACTACAATATACTTTCAGATATAAATACTCTCTCATATACCCAGGATACACGTAGAAGCATAAAATGTGTACCAATATCTTATTGATACCAGAGTGTCAACTTTCATACATACTTTTACATTATAAACACAAAATATATGTAAATAAATTATCATGCTACGAAAGTTTTCGAACAAGTGTAAAATTCGCATACAAATTAGCGTGAGAAAATGCGAAATTTGAAAGTTTTGATGAAAACAGTTCAATTATACTCCATATATCATAATGGTTTTAACCTTTATTTTATCCATTCTACCATACAGACGCTCACGTTTCGATCTCCAAAAGTCCCTTAGTCATAGGAGCAGCTCAGGGATGTAAAGGGTTTGTCGGCCATTTTGACGAGGTAAGTAGTATTTCTCCATAGGATTATATTTCGAATAGTGCGGTGTTATAGTCTTTATGCTTTAATGAATATAACAACGGGATGGTGTATTATATAATTGCATATATACAGAACGATGCATTGTTATGTTTCCATTTCCCGAAAAGTGCGTGATTGATTTGATTATCAAAATTGTTTGTTTAATTTCGTCAATTAACATTTTGTCGTTTTGTGGCTAACAATTAGTTAAATGACTATGAAGGTGTGGGATTAATTGTCATCATTAGCATATAATTATGTAATTAGTTTTAAAAAAAAATCATTTCATATACCAACGTCTTTTATCAGTGTGGATCATGAAACTTGCATTTCAAACAAACAACAATATTTTGTGTTTGTTTATTTAGTTTTTGTTTTCGTGTGTGTGTGTGCTTTCTTCTTCAAAAACATTAAACAAAAGGGGAAAAATCAGTTTCTTTAACGTCGGTACATTGACAGCGTGATTCTAGTATTGTCATATTTCATTTCTTCCTTTTGCAGTTTAAATTCTTCAAGTGTGTACCCAATGACTTCTTCAATGACTATGCCGAGAAAAAGAAATGAATATTCATGAAGCGCTGAAGAGTTGTATTTTTTTAATCATGTCTACAAACAGTGACGTATGTTACTTCCGGGACACAAACGGAAGACAGGGTATGATAACTCAAGGATCAGGCGTCAGCAATTTTATGCGTTCCTAAGGAACATTCCGATGCATTCCGATCGATACTCATATGCTGCATATGTAGGCTACTTACTACACTTTTTGTTGTTATATGTATAAGTTCTATGCATGAGAAATATCAAGCCTGTTTGATTAGAAGTTAGGTACATGTATATTGGAAAATTATCCGCTATATTCTTAACAATTTGTGTACTTATATCCTATTGATATAGCTTACTTATTTTAAATATAACTTATTGGCAATATTAATAAGTATAATTGCACTGTTCTTAACTATTTATACAATATGCGTATTTGCTACACATTGCTATAGCAAAAGTATCCTTTTACAATATATTTATATTGTTGATATTAACTTATATACATTTTGTCTTAAAAATCAGCATATAATTAATCAATTTAAAATTGGAAAACTATGTCTCATACTGATAGTTAATTTTGTGTGTGTTGTCATTACGATATCGATGATATTTATATAAAATATGTGCGTTCATGTGTTTGTGTGTGTGTGAGAGAGAGATGGAAAGAAAGAAAGAGAAGGGTGTGTGATTGCATACAACGATGTGAGAAATTGGTCGCATTTAAATGTACACTGTACATTGATGTTTGTTTGTTTTTACGATGCAATTAAATCATTTTATCAAAATGGCATTCAGTTCTTTTTATTTTGATAATAACCACGAAAGTAGAAGAAATTCATCAAACATGTTTAGCTTATAAATAATGTGTGGTTCGAGTAAAATGGAGCTAAACACCAAGAGAAACCTGGACAGTTTTAATGTATGCATAAAGAGACATTTCACAAATGTTTAAGATATATTTGTATTTCTATCAGAATGCAGTACTGTTCATACTTACTGGACAATAATTTTCGAATGAACGTTATGTTAATCATTAATAAAGATGTTTATGATATAATGTTTAAACTGCAGCTTTGGTTTCACAGTTTCGAGGTTATTATAGTGGAGTTTAACTTATTCAGGCGAGGTATCCTACCGGTTTTTACAATTCATACCTAGACAAAGTGCATTTGAAATTTACATCCTTGGACAAAATTTATGAAGATTTATAAATAAAGGAATATTTACAAATCAAATAAGAGTCTGTTACATTTCTGTAAGAGTTGAGTGTGGATAGTGTGAACATGGTTTCGTTCAGGTTCTCAAGACATTTTAGGGATTGGAATGACACTTTTACAGAGGAACAGCTACTTACGTAGGAAGGAAACTGAGAAAAAGCTCAAAATAATTTATTTCGAGGTTTCAGGAGTAGAAGGAAAGTGTAACTGGAATTTAAGAAAAATCAATCTAAAGTGATGAATAATATTCACATAGGAGTAACACGTTTGACACTGTTACCGACTTTGTCGACATCTATTCAACAAGTGACCGTAATGTGGACCTATGTAGGAATGAAAATATAACAGTAAAACTACAAAAAGAAAATGTTTTATTTAAGACACGTGTTGCACTTATAATTATAACAATAAAGTACAACGTTTTATTCTTTATTATTCAAATCAAATGACATTATGATATTGATAAATTACAAAACGCTGTTAGACTCCATAATATATTTAATAATTTCAGTCAAAATTTATTTATAAAAAATATGGACTTTTTTTTAATAAAGAAGACAATTTCGCATGATTAACATTATCTGCCATTTTAGGTATTGCTTAAAGCCGAATAAAGCATTCTTACTGAAATAACGTGATATCGCAAATCAAACGACGCGCAAACAACGTTTATGTATTTCGAATGTAAAAATTATAACTGCATATTCAAACCGTTATACGCATGCTTTGTGAGAGGACGAGTATTCAGTCATACGTCAAAATATGTAGTTAAGATCAAAGAACTGCACAATGTATATTCCTATCATATGATAAAATTGCAAGAACAGTCAAAGAAAACATGTAAATAATGAATGTGTTTAAATTACGCAGGTGCATTTAATAAGAGAAGTAAGATTAAAGAAAGCACATGTAAATGGAAACACAGTTTTACGTAGGTATGTGAAGTAATTAAAAATGAATTGATATCCTCTTCCGACAGCTAAGTCTTAGTCCTACATTTAATTATCCTATTTTGTATTAAATACAAATTAGTAGTTATAGTGCACATTCGAGCACAGAAATGCGGATTAGATTTTATTTCAAGTAGAGATAAAAGATCAAAAAATATTTCATGTATGATACAATAGCTAACTATATACAAGTGATCTGTTACTGTATAATACATGCTTCATTATTATTGCCAACCATATCAGAATACCCGAAGAACATGCGTTCATATGGAACCGATTATACTAAATAATTTGATACTAAAAAGAATGTTAAAGTGACAAAACAGGCGAGATCAACATACTTCAGTTATTTTATCAGTAGCTATAGCGAAAATGATGATCAAAAATAGAAAATGTTTAGAATGCAGATCAGTTTCCGTAATTTTCGCCCTAATTGTAAGGTTTGACGGCACATTTATATAACACTGTCATAGTAACGGTATGGTCAGGGGTTATATGTGCCTAGATACTCATACAGTTTTACAATGGTGTCAAAAACTAGCGGATGTCTACCCTGTAATGGTAGATTCACAAAATCAACATATTACAATATCAATATTAGGCAAATCGTTCTCGTAACATTCATATTTCACTAAAGTTTTTGAGAAAAAAATCTGACATCAACTTTACAAGTTCTTAAAACAGTTGCATTGCAACAAGCTATCACATGACATGTAATCTGTCACGTCAAACTGACTGGGAAAGTGTCCTCACCCCTCCAGGATGTATTCGCCGAACAACTCAGTTGTTTCTCGGAGGCTCATTTCACAGGTCACTGTCGCCAATAACGGAGAACTTTGGTTGTACTATCAAAGCATCACTAAGTAACAATCATATTTAACATTAGTCTATATTGCATTGTTTATCGCCCCACTTACAGGAATATTTCCTGTGTATACTAAGTGATATGGCATCCTCGAGAGTCATGACACTGGGGATCATCCATTCAACGAGGTATGGACTAAGTGCTCAAGTCTAACAACATCAAGTCTGTATTGAAAATTGAAGACATCGTCTTTGCAAGTATAACTTCATAGTCGTTCAAATTCAAACAACAGGATTACATTCTCTCAGCAAAGTATGTCGAATTACCATTTGTTTCGGTTTTCATATAGTCTAATGTAATATCGGGCCAGATAGAGGACTCACCATTAGAAATGGTTGTTAGGGAACCATTAGATGTTCTGCTTGTGTTAACCGAAGACGAGCCATTCACACCGTTCGTCACCAGCTCGGCTCGTGACTGTTTCTTAGCAACTCCATAACGCTTAGCCTCAAGTTTGGGTTTGTATCGGTACAAATAGAACTCGAATGCCAAACAGATGAGAGCAAGGCCAGTACCCACAGCAATAACAAGAAATACCCCGCCAATGTTTTTGATGCTGATACCTTCACTCTCGTCCTCAATATTTGGGCATTCGATCTTTTCGGGATTTTCCGTCCACCATCGAGCCTTTAATTTTTCCAGGAAGCGCTCGTTCAATAACTGTAGAATTCTGAAAAAATCAGTATTCATTGATCGTAAAACGTATATTTTATCAAGAGGAAAGTAATAGAGATTTTTTTTTATTGAAAAACCCTATGTTTTGATTTGTTATTATTATTGCTACTAAAGTAAAGTTACACATTTGTACCAACAATTAGGCAGACTATGTTTATCAATACCAGAGTATACAAATCACACGCCGTAATGCAGTATGATTATGCATATTAGCCACTTCAGTCTATAGAGAATAAACAAGTGTTCTTACGCGTTACTTATTTCGCTTCGGAGAGGTGAACCGTCCTGAACAGCGAAGGCAAAGGGTTTCCGACTAAACTCCTCCCCCACCGCCTCCACTTCACAATTAGTCAGTGTCTGATACTTGTTCTCTGCTGCGTCACCTTGTGAACAAAGCATACACTAATATGCATTTTTGTTTCATGCTTGCAGTAAACAGTATCAGGTTCAATTTCAACCAGTGACAGTGTAAACGTAATGGAAAGGTAGCTATTCTTCTTTAAGCAATTCCGTCTTTGCGTATTGCAGAGTTATCTTCACTTGGGAGCAGGTATTGATTGTTACGTCATTGGTTTGTGCGAGAAAATTACGTCGTTTTCTCAAAAACTGATGACGCTACTCTCACAAACAAGTGACGTAACAATCAATCCCTGCTCCCAAGAGAAGATAACTCTGCAATACGCAAAGACGGAATATGGTACGTAATGTAAATAATTTGCATAGTGCTATAATCTGTTAAACACTTAACGTTTCATTCTATAAAAAATAGACAACAAAAAATCAAAAACTTTTGGGAGTTTAAATAACGAAATAAAACATTAAATGTAATATTATATATTTCCAACAGTTCAAGTAAATGTATCAAAATAGGGGAGAACTAAAAAGACGTTTTAAAAGACAATTTAAATTCAATGTAATAATATTAGAAACAATTGAACTGCTCGGGTACAAACAATTTGATCAATGTTAAGACGCATAAAATTCTGCAGAAAAAAATAAACATAAGGTAAAGAATGTGTCCGATGTTCCCACTGGGAACAAAATTATGTAATAACCTAGATGTATAATTGTTACATACAGATATTACCAGCCTGTTTTATAGTTCGCTTCTGTGGTTTCTACACTGACGTTTTGCTTTACCTATGTAGGCATATTCCCCGGACATGACTTGTTCGATGGATTCTTCGAGCGTGTTGGAAAAACCATGTCCCTTCATTGTCTCCCAAAGCTTGGTGTACTTGTTACTGACTGGGTAGTCCCACACTGCCAGCTTGGCACGTTCCACCGCATCAAGACTGTCGTTCAGGCTCATTTGCTTCCATATACTGAATAACAGTTTATAAATATTTGTTTGAAACGTGCATTTTAGTTATACTTCAATATACATTTATTATATAAACTAGACATGCATGTCACAGGTCCAAAAGTTGTATTCTATTATCTATCCGTAATTTACAAAACGTTGGAGATCATGACGACTTCTTTTTGTGTTTTCTTGGATCCTATTGTAATATTCAATTATCTAATAATATGAGGTCTGATGCTATATCTATCCGTTATGGTTTATCTATATAACGTATGGTGCTGATGTTCTAGCTGAACTAACATGGTTCAGAATGACGTTTCGACAGAAATCTATGTTCAAATTTAATAACGTATTAAAGTTCTTGCTCCATGGCTCAAAGTCAAAACTACATTCACCTGTAGAAGCGTTCCTCGATTTCTGCCATTCGTTTGAAGTAGACCATGGCTGCGCTCCCATTTCGTGGTCCGTACTTTACTTTGTATTGAGCAGAAAGGTCGTCCAGGGATTTGATCAAAGTCTCCATCCGGGATACTGTCAGATGTGCTGCTAGGTTTGCTGTATAAGTGGCGATGATGATAAACCCAAATAGCCACCAGGTGGCAGCTATTAATCGCCCTGACAACGCACGAGGAGCTTCACCACCACCTAACACATAAAGTGAATAAGTTACAGATAATGAAATTGAAAAAACGGAATGTTGTCAACTCGAAAAATATAATACAACTCCTCTTCGTGTTCGACACCAAATTCGGCGTGAAATTGAGAAACAAAACATGCTTTCATTATGTTTTGCTATCTATTTTCTGCTAATTTCATTGGATGTTCAGTAGACACTAGTACTATAATGCATGTAGCAATACTTTAATGACGCTGTTCCCTCGGAATAAGATTTAAATTACAAATATTTCCTAACTAAGTACAACTATACAGTCTTACCCTGAGGTGTAAGCGACATCATACAGAACCACACTCCCTCTTTCAATGTAAATATTCGAGGTTCCGGTCCGTGTCCTTTCCATAACTTCAAATTGTTTTGGTAGCTAAACGGACTAAGTTTATCAAATGCACACAAGAGTACACTAAACAGGAAGTAGGCAGCGATAATACACAGCCATACTTGATGATGGAGCACTATCAGGAATTTGAACAGGAAGTATTCAAATTTCGGTTTCTTCATGAGAATAGTCAGCCCCACCAGATCATAATACGGAACCGTGAAGTCCACTACGTTTTCTCTTTCAGCCATAACTGATATAGGTCCAACAGCTATATCGGCTTTCTGCAAAGAAAATTATCATTTAAATCTTTGGAACATCGGAAAATCAAAAACGAAAACAATGGAATATTATGGGTTGATGTAAAAATGTGCCTTTTCTGTAGTCTAAATAATAAGGATTTTCTTGATACTTTGGGTCTGATAGGTTTTTGAGATTTTGGTATAAACTGTGTTTATGAAATATTTACCCGACATATATTTGACAAATACATGTATATGAAACATGACGAGGTATTCAGTACAATGTCCTTATAATAAAAATCATTCTCAATTCATATACAGAATAGTGGCCATGCACACGACGATTATTTGATATGTGTTTACAAATAACATATTATGGAAGGGGACATAAAACACAATAGTATCGATATTCCATTAAATTACAAGTAGTTGTTCAATTATGAAAATATTTCAGCTCTACCTTTTGGATGAGTTCATTAATGACTCCATTCCAAGTGCCATCGTCAGCCATGGCACCTACCAGTCCGTCGGGGACCTCGTATATCGTGTAGTCGAAGCCGACGATCGTGGCGATCTTGTTGAGCAGGTCGATACAGTAGCCAGTGTACTTGGTGTTGCTGTTGTTTTTGTTCTCGTACACAAACGGTGGGTACTATAAGTTAAACCAATGGATACTTTTTAGCACATAATACATATCTTACCCAACATACAGTTGCAGTGTTGCAATGGGGCATCGTATCAATCTTGGTATCCTGAATGTCGTGTTTGAAGAGAACAATGAAGAAAACCCCCCATTATACAGGGGCCACACAGACACATGCGGTGGGATACAACAGATCTATTGGCATGAGCCCCCATCCCGCCTTTACATAAGTCGCTTCTTTCGAGCATGCAGTTGAGATTGCTAAGGAGGGCAGCTAAAACATATTAGATAATACTACATCACAAACACCCAAGTGTTACATAATACAAATCCTTAGTCTGCCGGGGTCAATGATTTAGACTTTTGCGAAGCAAGGAACTTTCAGGGGTCTAAATCTCTGGTAGTTTAATAGAGGGTCTATGAGAGTTACTCCCCTTGAATCAGTAGATGATTACTAATTAAAATGTTCTTATTTTAAGTTAAATCTTTTTCGTAGACATGCTATATAATATGTAAATAGTCATACTAATAAAGCGCATTAGAGTTAGCACGAAAATCGCTCAAATATTATTTTTGATAAAATGGCTTCATTTACAGTGCTTCTCGTGTACAAATATAAAGGATTTACTTTAAAATATATGTCAATGGGACCAACGTTTCTGCATTGAACGGATAGGACATATAGGTGTTTACCTTGCCGGCGATAACTACTCTGAGTGTCCTCTTGGTCTGACTCTCTATCAGTGATTTTACCTTCAGTACCAGGCCATTGGACTCTGTCCAGTTACCAAGCTTTTAAGGTAAATGACAACCATATCAAATCACACTAATTATCGGTCATATTATAACCTGGTTATATATGTTACACAAAATAACGAATCAAGTATTTAAAATATTTCATAAATTCACAACAATATAACGATAAATTATTAAAACAATCATGCAATTTATGAGTTAGTTATATTTTATTTAGTTAGAATTGACAGTTAATTAACAAAACAGAATTTTTGTTTCTAAATGCCTTTTAATATTTCCTATCCCATATCAATGTGATAGCCGATAGAAACAATCTGCTCTACCAGAAACACTCACTTAAAAAGTGATCTCATTCTTTTGGTAACATGTGCCTGCTCAGTGGGGAAATGCACTCCGCTAATGTGGTGATTTTCTAAGGTGGATGGGCAATATTTTAAGATAATAGTGTTGACCAATAGGGTTTAGGCCATGGCGACCATTCGAACAAAATAAGATAGTTAATGAAGTCAGTTGGACCGATTCCTCAGCCAAAATTTCGCCATTTCTATATCCAGACAACAGTGAACGGAATGGACAACTGTTGACGGTCATGTGACAGCACTAGAGGACTCGCTACGTAGGCATTTGTCGACAATGCAAGAAGCAAATATTGTTTATCACGCTTAAACAAAAGCGAGGAAGAATGCAAAAATCTTCAGAAAGCGAAGTCAGAAGTTATGTGGTTCTGTCCACTTTTCATGGGAAATGTGGAAAAGAACAATGCGATTGCACAAGTTCAGAGGAGAGATGTGAAAGCATCATAGAGGCATTTGAAACAAGGATACCAGAAACTGAGGGGGGCGGGTAATAATAAATGCGACGAGGCTGAAGTCATCGGGTTATTCAAATAAGATACTGCAGGAAGCAGTGCTGAAAATAATGACACCGAAACCTGGGAACAGGTAGTAAAGAAAATTAGAAAGGAACAGGGGAAATAGAACTTCGTTAGCGTCATATCTGAAAGAGATAAGAGGAAAACTAGAGAAACTTACTAAAATAGTGTTCGACGCAAAGGAACACTTCGGGACCGGAGACGAAATAAATCTTAAGGGCACGAATGAACATCGGTGGAAACAGATATGGATTGTAAGAAAGTTGACCCTCCCTCACAATTATTCTGTTGTTAAGTTGTGACAGATATACCATGTCAGAAAATGTCAGAAAGGAAATGAAAAACGTAACAATAGCGAATAATGTACTACTAAGTCTCATGGTGCAATAATCAGTTGTTGAAACTACATAGGAAGGAACACTGGAAACAATGTTACATATTACTTCGGTGAGACAGCCCTTAAGAATCAGGATTAGACAAAAACATAGGTGCAGTAATTTGTAATAATCTTATATTTGAAAAACAGATTTTTGAAAAGTGCTCTTCAAATCACTAGTTAGAACTCATCTGGTTCAAATGTATAACAATGAAAAGGTTAAGGATTACAAAGCAGGGCAACTAGTCCCTTAACTGAATAAAAAAAACTTTCGTATCCCTATAAACTTAAACGCCTAAATTTACCGACTCTATCATACAGAATAAAACAGCGAAACATGGTAGAACTGTATACATTAATACATCAAAAATATTACAAAGAAGTAACTCGAAATAATGGAGGGATGTATGACAGCGATCCGGCAACGTGTGAAATTCCCTTAGAAATATATGCGTACAACAGTTTACAATTATGAAGAGAAAATAATTTCAAACTACAAACCACAGTTGTATTGAATAACTTGCCAGGAGATGTAGTGTATGCCAAAAATAATACATTGTTTGAAAAAAAAATCTAGTTAGGAAGAATGGTGCATACTTGATTGTTAAAACTACATCCAAAACAATGTGTTCATATGCGCATAGGAAGGAACACTGACGTTCAGGTTCATTAGAGCTTCAGGGATTTACTGATTCATTACATAATTTCAAAGCAGATATGTGAACTGTAGTGTCTTTACAATAAAATTATATTTATAGTAAACAGTTATTATATATTTAAAAATCATGTACCAAAAATCGTCAACAAATGTCATTAAATTAAAGAGGAAATAGTGTAAAATTGATTAATGTCATCTGATTGTAATCAACAAGAAAGTTACCGGAGTGTTCCCCGAGCTCAGTCCTTCACTGAACGTCTGCCTTTGAAGATTTAACACCAATTTCTGTCGCAGCGAGCCGTTGATGAATCTTATTTCTCCGTACAAGCCCTCTCTTGTCATCTGCCGGTAAAAAGGGGAAAGGTTATGTCACAAAATATGTTAAGATATATAAACAGAAATAAACAGAATGGTGTCAGACTGATTTTTGTATGTACTGTATACCGGGAAATGTGCGCCGCAGTTTACATTTCGCTGTTATATGCCCTCCGTAATGAGAGAGAATTAGTCATTACAGCGAACAGAGCGAAACATTAAACATAGAAGGGCGAAATAAGATTTTGCCGGCATAGAGCAAAAATTGCCGGGCCAAAGTTTCCCGGAATACAGTAATAGAAACTTGTAACACTACTGTAGTTTAATCTTCCCCAACATTCACAAGTGTTCGACAATTCAGTTGGCGATCGCTTTACATACTGCTTTTGATCTTTTTCTGTGTACCTAAGATCTAAATCCATTGTATAAGATTTATATCATAAACGTATCAGATGTCTGAGAGTGAAATTCTGCACGATACCAGATGTCTGAAAGTGAAATCCTGTACAATATCAGATCTCTGAGAGTGAAATCCTGTACGACATCAGATGTCTGAGAGTGAAATCCTGTACGATATCAGATATCTGACAGTGTAATCCTGTACGATATCAGATGGGTGAGAGTGAAATCCTGTACGACATCGGATGTCTGAGAGTGAAATCCTGTACAATATCGGATCTCTGAGAGTGAAATCATGTACGTTATCAGATGTCTTAGAGCGAAATCCTGTACGATATCAGATGTCTAAGAGTGAAATCCTGCACGATATCAGATGTCTGAGAGTGAAATCCTGTACGATATCAGATGTCTGAGAGTGAAATCCTGTACGATATCAGATCTCTGACAGTGAAATCCTGTACGATATCGGATCTCTGACAGTGAAATCGTGTACGATATCAGATGTCTGAGAGTGAAATCCTGTACGATATCAGATGTCTGAGAGTGAATTCCTGTACGATATCAGATGTCTGAGAGTGAAATCCTGTACGATATCGGGTATCTGACAGTGTAATCCTGTACGATATCAGATGTCTGAGAGTGTAATCCTGTACGATATCAGATGTCTGAGAGTGAAATCATGTACGATATCAGATGTCTTAGAGTGAAATCCTGTACGATATCGGATATCTGACAGTGTAATCCTGTACGATATCAGATGTCTGAGAGTGAAATCCTGTACGATATCGGATATCTGACAGTGTAATCCTGTACGATATCAGATGTGTGAGAGTGAAATCCTGTACGACATCGGATGTCTGAGAGTGAAATCCTGTACAATATCCGATCTCTGAGAGTGAAATCCTGTACGATATCAGATGTCTTAGAGCGAAATCCTGTACGATATCAGATGTCTTAGAGTGTAATCCTGTACGATATAAGATGTATGAGAGTGAAATCCTGTACGATATCAGACGTCTGAGAGTGAAATTCTGTACGATATCGGATGTCTGAGAGTGAAATCCTGTACGATATCAGATGTCTGACACTGAAATCCTGTACGATATCAGATATCTTAATGGTAAAATCATGTACGATATCAGATGCATTATAGGGAAATCATGATTTATATCCATTTTCTTATAATACAATAATATGAGATATCAGATGTCTGACGGTGTTATCATGTACGATATTAATTGTTTTAGAGTAATATCCTGTACGATATCAGATATCTGATAGTGAACTCCTGAATGATGTCAGATGTCTTAGAGTTATATAATATAAGGTGTCAGATGTCTTAGAGTTATATAATATAAGGTATCAGATGTCTTAGAGTTATATAATATAAGGTATCAGATGTCTTAGAGTTATATAATATAAGTTGTCAGATGTCTATAAGGTGTCAGATGTCTTAGAGTTATATAATATAAGGTGTCAGATGTCTTACAGTTATATAATATAAGGTATAAGATGTCTTAGAGTTATATAATATAAGGTGTCAGATGTCTTAGAGTTATATAATATAAGGTATAAGATATATAAGAGTAAAAATCGTGTTCGATATCGATATACAGTTAAGTCCTGTATCCAAATTAGAGAGTAAGAGTGACATAATCCTGATATCCAACGTATATGTAAAATTTAGATATGTGTAAAACTCAATATTAGCACTACTGAGTACGTGTGCTTACCTCTTTGAAGGCGGCGATGATACGCTTGCTCTGCTGGTAGAGGATATCGGTGGAGTTTTTGACGCCGTAACAGTCATCCTTAGGTACAGAGAACGCTTCAGTAGGATGTGTATCCTTCAAAACCTCATCCAACATCATTTGGAAGTCGTAGATGAAAATCTCATCCAGCTGGCAAAATATGAACAAAGTATTTTGAAAGAAACGATGTTAATTACGCAACGAAAAGTTTTGATTAATTCCCATAGTTTGAATACCACTGTACTATTTATTTACGTTGTTATGAGCGTCTGTATACGCAATTCAGATAAATTGCCAAAAAATGATTTTGTCATTGAAGAATTTATTTTGCAAATATTTCCCACTATTTCGTTTATTATATATATTTGTAATGAATACCGTCTCTTACTGACGGTTTTGTGCTATTAGAGGCTTTCATAAAGATGAGGGCTAAAACATGTAGTTTACCTGTATGGCTAACGCGTTATACGCGTGGTTGTTCGGGAGTAGGTTCCTGATGGCCCTGATATAATTGTCTAGCATCTCAAAGTTGTGTTTCCCATTGATTCGTATGACGCTGCCAGTTTTACACTTGTGACAGTTCAGATTGGAACCCTGTAAAAATAAAAGCCATTTTAGACACTTCGAGGTATATACCTCCATAATCCCTGAAAGCAACAGAGTTATTGTACATCAGGGGGTGGGGTGGGGTGGGGGTATAGTGTTTACTTCATGTATATAGCCATAGTCCCTAAGTGATTAAAGACGGGATCCCTCTAGAAAGAAATCGGGTCATTGGATTCCAGGGGAATATTGTTTACTAAGAGGTATACTTCCTGTCTATAAGTCATTAAAAAAGCGGATCCAATTAGAAAGAAGTTACGGTAACTGAATACCTGGAGAATAGTGTTAACTAAAAGGTATAGTTCTGTGGGCACTACGGCAGTAAGGCAGGAACCCTCTAGAAAAAAATAGGGTTATTGGATACCTGGTTTACAATGTTAACTTAGAGGTATACCTCAGTAGTCCAAAGGGAACTATAGGCGGTATATCTATAGAGAGATAGGAGCATTAGATAAGGTGTTCATCTATAGAGAGAAAGGAGCATTGGATAAGGTGTTCACCTATAGAGAGATAGGAGCATTAGATAAGGTATTCACCTATAGAGAGATAGGAGCATTAGATAAGGTGTTCACCTATAGAGAGATAGGAGCATATATATATATGATCCATGTATAACACACACAGAGGGATCACCAGCGTGTGGTGTATATGCATGATCCAGGTATAACACACACAGAGGGATCATCAGTGTGTGGTGTATATACACGATCCATGTATAACACACACAGAGGGGTCACCAGCGTGTGGTTTATATACATGATCCTTGTATAACACACACAGAGGGATCACCAGCGTGTGGTGTATATACATGATCCAGGTATAACACACACAGAGGGGTCACCAGTGTGTGGTGTATATATATTGATCCAGGTATAACGCACACAGAGGGGTCACCAGCGTGTGGTATATATGCATGATCCAGGGATAACACACACAGAGGGTTCATCAGTGTGTGGTATATATACATGATCCATGTATAATACACACAGAGGGGTCGCCAGCGTGTGGTTTATAGACATGATCCATGTATAAAACACACAGAGGGGACACCAGTGGGTGGTGTATATATATAATCAATGTATAACACACACCGAGGGATCACCAGCGTCTGGTGTATATACATGATACATGTATAACACACACCGAGGGATCACCAGCGTATGGTTTATATACATGATTTCTGTATAACACCCACAGAGGGATCACCAGTGTGTACACGTGGTGTGTATACACGATCCATGTCTAACACACACAGAGGCGTCACCAGCGTGTGGGGTATATACAGGATCCATGTATAACAAACACAGAGGGGACACCAGTGGGTGGTGTATATATATTGATCCAGGTATAACGCACACAGAGGGGTCAACAGTGTGTGATTTATATACATGATCCATATATAACACCCACAGAGGGGGCACCAGTGTGTGGGGTTTATATGTGATCCATGTATAACACCCCCAGAGGGGTCACCAGCGTGTGGTATATATACATGATCCAGGCATAACACACACAGAGGGTTCATCAGTGTGTGGTATATATACATGATCCATGTATAACACACACAGAGAGGTCACCAGTGTGTGGTGTATATATGTGATCCATGTATAACACCCACAGAGGGGTCACCAGTGTGTGGTTTATATACATGATCCATGTATAACACACACAGAGGGATCACCAGCGTATGGTTTATATACATGATTTATGTATAACACCCACAGAGGGATCACCAGTGTGTACACGTGGTGTGTATACACGATCCATGTATAACACCCACAGAAGGGTCACCAGTGTGTGGTGTATATATATGATCCATGTATAACACCCACAGAGGGGTCACCAGTGTGTGGTGTATATACATGATCCGTGTATAACACACACACAGGGATCGCCAGTATGAGATGCGATTCTATACATATTTAAATACAACATACAGTAATATTGACATGAATATTCATCTGGATTAAAAGTTTTAAATTTCATTTAAAATGCTGATATCATCACAAAAACCTTTATAATTTACATAAGTAATCGTGTTATACCACCACTCGTGTTTCTATGCCGAGAGCACAACATGCTTTTACAATCAAGTACACATCTTTTGATAACTTTGTTATTGATTTTTAAATATCCGCAGGTTAACTGTTGTTTTGTACCCAAGTCTATATCCCACTGCGCCATCTATTGTTTGAAAAGTATTGATTTGACCAAGTGTATCAGATACATGTACTATGTAATATGTTTACATAACAAACATTACAATGTCTGTGTACTATAGTGATTTATCGATGCGTACACGTGTAACATATATACTTAAAGGTCGATCTGTTGAACAGAGCTACTTAATACACTGTAATAGACTTAGGAATTACGACTTGGAAGATTATATCAGAAAACGACTATTTAAAAAATGCAGATAGCAAAGCAAAGTTAGCATTGAATGCACTGTATGAACGTTTGGTCCCTCTAAGTTTCACAAGTGATACGAAAGTCAAAAGAATAAACGAAATCAACAATGTGTCTCACAGCATTTGAGGTAACAATCATAAGAGAACGGTTTCTATATGACCGTTTATAACGTTACAAATTAACTTTTTAAGTTTATTATTTCTACAAGACAACATTCATTTTCTGAATTAGTTTCCCACCTAACCTGCTAGTGACGACCAGGCTCGAGGACTGATATTCCAGCAGCAAAGTCAACCACGTTGCAAAGTAAACAATTCATAAAATAATATTCCGTGTAATTCTTTATCCTCAGATGACAGGCAAATAAGTTTAATAGTTGTTAGAACTGAAAAGGTTAAAGCTGGCCTTCGTTTAAGTTAGTGTGCCGTTCAAATCCAAACTTTATTCTATTTAAATTGCATACCTATTCATTTGCTTTGAAGTCTTTAGGTAACTATAATCGAAAATAATAATAATTAAGTATTGACTTGAATGCATCAGAGATAGGTATCAGTATGTGTATAGGTAATCAGTAATGGTTGTAATATCAGAGCTAAGCTATCTATCAAAGTCTAAGGAATTAGAACACGAACCTCTACTGCTACTTCGTTTGGATTCCGGTGAAGTGAGATATTTTACTAGCTTCAGTCTTCATTAAAGAATGTTACTGCATTCAGAATTGAACATGTTGCGATACCGATATCGTACGCTGGTAAATATCCACGATCTATGATATATTGAAGTGACTTTAAAACAAAACGTATACCTCACAACCTTGAGTAAATACATAGTACAAACAATGTCTCCGCTTGTCCCATAAATAGATGCAAAAAGGAAACGAAACATTGATACATTATTCTTTTACTATTGTTACCTGACCCTCTTTATGATTATATATTAAACAGTTTTGACTGTTAAATGTTTGCACGGATTGTATTTAGAATACTGTGAAGTTAAATACTATTCTGATATTTCTGCCCTATACGATCATGTCGATCGATCTAAACATCAATGTTAAGCAACTCTAGTCATGGTTGTATGTTTCTTTTATTGACTCGCCTACTATGTTAACCGTAGTCCTAGCTACTGATCATAATAGTCATTATCCTTTAGCTGCTGACTGTCACACACTCAGTGACCGTGATTAACGCTATGCATGTGCATGAAATCAACTTACTCTCCACGGGGTTAAAAAACATGAATGAATTTCTATTTTTAGAAAGGAAACGAAACTCAAGAAGAATGAGCTTACCACAAAACGGGCAATATTCTAAAGTATTCTGTTTTATATGGAACAATAGGAAAGCCAAAATTAGCTATCGGGATAGTAAATAATATAACTTCAAAGACATTTAGGTACATACCTGCCCTTACATTAAAATATTTGAATACTTATCGGTACAGTAAAATACACATTATAATATTAAATGTTGACGTTATGCTAACCTATAGTTATAACATAAAACATTCACTTTGTATCGATTATCTGGTGATTGAAAAATGATAAAAGTATGAGAAGTAGGGTTCAACTTTAACCAAATCCGTAGAAAAGTTTTGTATAATATTTTACAGATGGCCAAAATATTTAAAAGGTGCAACCCTCTTTTTTATTACTGCATTCAAAGACAGTAATAATGCAAAATTTTAGTTTATCTGTTCGTTTATTTAGTTTGTTAAATTGAACTGTTTATACAGAATAGTGTTAGGGAGGGAAGCACATGCAAGTTCTTTAGCTGTCTCGAAGAAAGACTTCTGGTTAATATAATGCATGACTATTATACAAGGCTTAAGCACACGGGAAAGATTATCTTTCAGTATGCTTATCAGTATTTGTTAACTGTAAATTCACTATAAAGTCAATTTCCTAGTGTTTGTTAGTAAGCAGCATATCTCAACTGATCTAGTACGCATCACTTGATTAATTGTTAGCAAGCCGCCGTGATCTGTTGTGATTTGGATCCCGGCGTCTGACCCGAGGTGTCATGTAATCTATGTGTGCCTTATGAACATGTGTTTAAAATAGTAAAAAATCAGATGTTATGAAAGGTTAAGTGCGGTGATATTATTCAAAAGTAAAGTATGCGATGGTGTTCTTTGTGAAGAGTTAAATAGAAAAAACATATTTTCACAGTTTCAATAAACAGGGATACAATCTGAACGAACTCAAAGTCAAAAAAATGTACTACATCGTTAATAAAAAGGTTAGGGACACCATCTGAACTGAGGAGACGCCAAACAATACACTATGAAGACTCAACAAGAAAAGCGGTATCTAAAGTTGGTTCTGTAGAAAAGCGGTATCTAAAGTGGGTTCTGTAGAAAAGCGGTATCTAATGTGGGTTCTATAGAAAAGCGGTATCTAATGTGGGTTCTGTAGAAAAGCGGTATCTAATGTGGGTTCTGTAGAAAAGCGATATTCAATGTGGGTTCTGTAGAAAAGCGGTATCTAATGTGGGTTCTGTAGAAAAGCGGTTTCTAATGTGGGTTCTGTAGAAAAGCGGTATCTAATGTGGGTTCTGTAGAAAAGCGTTTTCTAATGTGGGTTCTGTAGAAAAGCAAGCTATACTTGCACAACATGTTGTAATCAACATCATGTTTATCGAAAGAAGTTTTCTGCAGATTACCTACGATGTTAGGCATAGCGAATAAATCTGCAATCGTGACAGTGAATTCTTTTTACGAGACGAAGAGCATACAACGTCTTCAACACGAACTACATAAAGACTAAAAGGACTACATAGTTAATTGTTCTACGGAATGCATCCTTCCAAGGAATCCTGATTAAAACAGGCTCGGTATCGGCAAATAAATTACAACACAAAAAATTCTGATACTAAGAACAAGTTCTCGAATTGCAAATCAAATATGTAAACGCCTGATGCATAGAACAGGCCTTAGCGCAGCGAAGCAAAGTGACATGTAAGCCCCTTACATTGGGAGCACACTCATTATTAGCGAATACACTATAACCTGAAAACAATGATACTTAAAACAAGTTCTGGAATAGAGATGTACATTCTATAAGCAAAGGTTACTGCTGCTATGTTACTGCTAAGGAAAGGTAGGTTGAAGTTGAAACCGCCTGGTCTTTCATACTATTTGGTGATGAAGAACCGTCATACTGCAGGTAAAGTAAAGATACGGCGGGGTTTAAGAAGAGACTGTGGTCTATTTTATTTCAGCTGCTGATTGATAAAGAGAAGATCGAAGTAGTTGTCGAAATTTCTATCATACAACAAACCATCTCCGATACATTGGAATTGTAATTAAAGGGCCAATCAAACATATTTCTTCCGTCATTAAAAGTTCTTGTATAAATTTAGCTTCATAAGTACGGCACCCCTATTTTCCATTGGAATACAGAGAGGCTTTTGACGCAGTTATCCAATAATTCATCAAAACAGCCAACAAAAAAAATGATCATGAAGACTATTTTACCGTTTGTGATTTTCTTGTGATGGCTAACAAAATAAGTCTCATTTCTGCATATGCAGAAACAAGACATATTCTATATTAGAGTAAATGAAAAAGAGGCTCTACACTAGTAGAATATCAAATGTTATACAAGAGTAAATTAAAAATAAAACAAAAAAGGAAAAACAAGCGAACGCTCAAAGACGATGTAGTCTGTAGGCGTCTGATCTGTGGTAATGAAACACACATCTGAAATACGAAAATGGATTTGCTACTTGTGATAATAAAGACGATATAATGACGGTATACCTTGCTGAGGACGAACCAATTGTACTTTTCCTCGAACATGTTCAGGGAGTGAACCTGGAATAATAATAAACGTTATGTACAGGAATATTATTATTCTACATAAATCACATTACTTAAGAGAAGGTCATGTACCTATGTAAACAAAAATCATAATTGTCTTTCAAATCAGTAACTAGAAACCTATATGAAAAACAGTTTCATGAGACATTGAAGTCAATAAATGCGATTTCAGATGGAAATGGTTAGCTACGGCAATTAACGGGAAATAACTGCGGAATATTTAATTTTTGGCAAAAAATTCCATGAGCGATTAAATGTGAAATTGATATTCTATTTGTGATCAACAGACAACATACCTTACTCCATTGTGCCAAGAAACTATTTCTTTAACAGTATTAATATAAAGCGAGATAAACAATATTCATAATTACGTGTTGATCTTATAAACTGAAAAAATATTTACTTTAATTTTCCTTAATAAAAAGGTGTGTATAGTGTATTTCCATTACCATCCCTAGCAGAGCGGTGATCGTGGTCGAATTACTAAGCACGAAGAAGACTTTGATTTCGAGGTCTTTGAGACGCTTTAATTGGGAAGACAGTGCTGTTTCGTCTTTAGAAATTTCCTGATACAAATGCTGGGTGGGGACCCCAGTCAAAATCCTCTTCGGTATCACGTGGAGATCTGTTACAAAAAATGTACTAAGAACAGGCTTCATTTGATGTATAATTCAAACCTTTACCTTCAGCATTTGAGAGTGAAGTTCTAACGGTACACATATGCATCAGTAATACTGTTTACATTTGAAGTATAATACATCTACTTCTCCTACACAGAATATCGATACCAGACGCAACAAAATCAATAATACCAAGTTGTCCCTTGAAGTGAAACAGGATATTTGCACTACTTCAGTCAATAGTGTTATTTGAACTTGATGGTTGTTTTATCTTTTAAACTCATGGGATGAAATGAAATGTAATACATTCAATACTTTTTATTGGTATAGGTTTACCTTTTGTGCTCATGTGGCATGTGCAACTGTAGGTGAGCATTATGCCTAGTGCAAAGATTACACATACATTCATTGTTTACTCATCCGCACATGATTGTGGGATCCATTAAGTAGAGCGTGCCGTTTCAAAACGAGTATACACATTTGTGTTTTTTAAAAGCAGATATAACAGTAAAAGGTTTTCGGTATTCAGTTTAGAATGGTATTGATTGAAGATACAAAAACAAGCCAGCTGTGACATGTTTCTCGTGTTACAACACGACTCTCTACCATAACGGTTAGTGTTTTGTTTGTAGTTCACAGGCTTTATGATAATTACCGAACGACTCGTCATATAAAATGGCGACTTTGGTGAGATTTTCATGCTTAACGATGTCGGGTATGATATGAAACATGGCCGACCCAGGAGGCTCTACCGCTAGGTGAAGCTGTGGATGGAAATCTACAGGAAGGAGCGTTGATTGGTCCACCAATGTGAAGTAGGCCATGCCAAGCGTGCGTGCGAAGGAACGAATCAGGGGCCCAACGGCAGGGGCGGTAGCATCCAGCAAGGCAAACCCTCCTTTATTCATGCTTGTACATACTGCAAAAATAAACAAAGCAAATATGATTAAAAACAGATAAAGCATTGACTCTTCCCCTCTCCGAAAAGTCTGTTTAATTTTTTTCTGTACAAAAATAATTCATGAAGAAACGTCTTAAGTAGCTGCTCTTTTATCCTTTTAACACCAAATACATTTGTGTATATTATTTGCCAGCATTATATTCTTAATTTCCAGTAGATAATGCGCGAGGTGGGCACATACATTTATTTGTTTAATTCCTTAATTCAATTTATCCCCAATTATCACATTCTCGAGTAAATTGCTTTCGGAAGTTATACCAGTGACATATGTTCGTAATATATTAAACCAAGAAATACATTTAAGGAACAAAAATCTATTATCGTAAGAATAACATAATAATAAATATTCAATAAGCGTATTCCATTAAGAATACATATAGAATTATAGATATGTTCCTGTCGTATAAAGTCATGTTCATGTCATTGATTAAGGATGTCATCAATTAATTCCCTTTCAGTCAACTGATTAAAGTTGTCCCTTTCTCTACAGTTTACCTTGGTCGAGCGTATTTATAGAGTTGCTGTCGTCTGCTTGAATCATTGTGATGTTATATTTGGGGCTCGCAACGGGGATCCTTGTGTGCAGCGTACGATAAACGGAGCTGTTCTTATCTTTGTCGATGACAGCCACTAAATGGAAGAATATAAAAGATGTTTAAACAAAATAAAGGCACAATATCACGGTTTGCTCTAAAGAGCAATGTAAATATTCATAAATGGGAACAGAATAACTACAACTGATTATGTCCTCAAATGAAGACCAAGGGAGACATTATGAAGATTTTATTAGTTGGGCTGTGCTGGTATCCGCTCTTAAACAAATTATACGGATGTGCCCACTTGCCATGGAGTCAATTAAAGAAGTATTTGAAGTGCCACCTAGACACACGTTACGTCATATACACTTATTATGACATGCCATTCGACCCATTTGTCTAACAACGGGCAGGTAAGACACCAATAACCGGATGAAATAGGCAAAAGAGACAGGAAGTTAATATTCCAAGAAACTTGTATTTTTACAGGATCTGTTGTTCGACAACATCCAATTTTTGGCGGATTTACCAATCTTTATTTTTCACTTAATAAGTAGCATCCACATCATATCAAAATAGAAAAAATCCCAGCAACGACAACAAAACAAAACACATATTTCCTTGTCAACAGTCTAATGAAAAATTATGTCATAGCATTATGAAATGCAACATCATTCTATTCACGGTTATCGTTTTTGAGTTGCACGAATTTGGAATATATGAGCCGTAAATGAACCAAGGTTTTGGGAAATATAGTGGTACCTCACTGAAATAACACATACATGCTACACATAGATAAAACTAGATCAAACATAAACCACGGAAATGCATAGATGGAGGAATTTTAATTGTCCAAACGTTTATAAAAATGAAAATTAACGCCTCAAATATTCCTACATTTATTTAGAAGTACAGCTAATGGAGGAATGGCCTATACAACTGTTAATAACGTCACATATTAAATTGTTCGCCTATAACAGATCACTTATCCTAAACCTTAACTAAAACATTGTCTAAAATCCTTCGGATACGCTCACCTACGTTCTCTGCACCCTTAATATGTCATTACAAAATTGAAGGTGCGAAGTTACCGATTTGATTGGTTTCAGGAATAAAAACCTGACCAATGGCTAGGCTGATATCTATCCTTAAGAGGAGCGACAACCAACTTCAAAACCGTCAATTTTACACTTATGCTTCCGCGCGATTCTTTTAATGTACATCAAAGGATCAAATTTTATCAGCCACAAAGTAACTCTTGCAGAACCTTCAATTTTGTCACGTTTCATAGAACGTAGGTTGGCATAACCCATGGTATTGTGAGGTTAAAATAACAGCGACATTTAACAACTGGTCATTAGCTTTCTTGGGGCAGCATTCTGCTACTTTTCTGAGGGCAATTCGACTAAAGGAGACTTTTACCTCTGAAAAAAGGCTAAAAATAGGTAAACTGAAAATGTCCTATTTAAATGAAATTCTCATTGCCAATTCTTTTTCGGTTACAAATATTTGCACTTTTCTTTATCGTTAGTAAGTAACACAGATGGGTATCTGAAATGATATTCTAAGGAAAAGGGATCTTGTTATGCTAAACTTATTTTACGTTTAACCATAAAAGGATATTTTCCCCCTGAAGCTTGACGTTATGAACATAATTCTTCTGATGATTGGTAAATTCTAAAACGTTATATGTTTTGTTTGAATTTTCTTGGGTGCAAAAAAATGTCAGAGAACTAAAGTAAAATGGTCAGAGCTGTTAGTTTTAAACCTATTGCGCTGCACTTTTGGTCATGAACTTTTTATCATTTTATTTAAGAAAAAATAAGGTTGACTCGGTGAAATGAGAGCAGTATACGATATTTTCAAACTTTGGCGAAATAATAATTGAACTGTTGACTTACATCCTGTGTTACATTATATGTCCCTGTGTATAAAAACACTAACATTCTATTTAAAAATAAGACATCTTACGGCTGTTTTACCTGGTCGATATAAAAGTCTGATAATGTAGACAGCAAAGACAGTTTGTAATGGAAAACAAAGGAATGAGGCAATTGGTTTTACGTTATCGATTTTCTATATCAGATTGTTCCATTTCATGATTACTGCCCGTGATATCCTCGTCAGATCCATTAACGCGGGCTGGTACAGTGTATCCGTGCCTAATCTATAACGGACCAGATCAAACCTCAGTCATCAAGATACAACATCAAACGAAACTGATATTAAACAGTTTGGTATTAAACGATCGATTTCCAGGATTAGTCTCAGACGTATGTCTTAATTGGTTCATTTCCGTGATTTTATATACAAATTTGGTTACTTATCTGATGTTTGATGTTTTGATTGTGTATATGTTCTCTGATTATCACAGAAAAATCGATTCTTCTGGTAAAATAATACAAAAAAAGAGACCACAACACCACTACAGTGCAACACACAAGGACAAAATATAGCACAGCGCTAACACACAAGGACAAAATAAAATACTGCGTCAACACACAAGGGCACAAAATAGCACCCCGTCAAAACACAACAGTAAAACATGGCCCAGTGCTAACACACAAGGACAAAAAAAAGAACTAAGACAACACACAAGGACAAAATCTAGCACAGCGCAAACACACAAGGACACACAATATAGCACAGCGCTATCAAACAAGGACACAAAATATGACACAGTGCTAACACACAAGGACAAACTATAGTACTGCGTCAACGCACAAGGACACGAAATATAGCACACCGCCAACAAACAAGGACAAAATATAGAACAGAGCCAACACACAAGGGCACAAAATAGCACTCCGTCAAAACACAACAGTAAAACATGGCCCAGTGCTAACACACAAGGGTAAATTATAGTACTGCGCCAACAAACAAGGACAAAATATAGCATAGCGCCAACACACAAGGTCACAAAATATAGCACAGAGCGAACACACAAGGACAAAATCTAGCACAGCGCAAACACACAAGGACAAAAAAAAGAACTAAGACAACACACAAGGACAGAAAATATAGCACAGTGCCAACACACAAGGACAAAATATAGCGCAGCGCCAACACACAAGAACACAAAATATAGGACAGCGCCAACACACAAAGACACAAAATATAGTACAGCGCCAACACACAAGGGCACGAAATATAGCACAGCGCCGACACACAAGGACACAAAATAAAGTACTGCGACAACACACAAGGACAAAAAATATTACTGCGTCAACACACAAAGACACAAAATATAGTACTGCGTCGACAAACAAGGGCACAAAATATAGTACTGCGTCAACGCACAAGGACACAAAATACCGCACAGCGCCAACACAAAAGGAAAAAATATAGCACAGCGCAAACACACAAGGACAAAATATAGAACAGAGCCAACACACAAGGGCAAAATATAGTAATGCGTCAACACACAAGGGCAAAATATAGTACTGCGCCAACGCACAAGGACAAAATAAAGCACTGCGTCAACACACAAAGACACAAAATATAGCACTGCGTCTACACACAAGAACAAAAAATATAGCACAGCGCTAAAACACAAGGACACAAAATATAGCTCAGCGCCAACACACAAGGTCAAAATATAGCACAGCGTCAACAAACAAGGACAAAATATAGCACTGCGTCTACACACAAGAACAAAAAATATAGCACAGCGCTACCACACAAGGACACAAAAAATAGGACAGCACCAACACACAAGGACAAAATATAGCGCAGCGCCAACACACAAGCACAAAATATATAATAACGCCACCACACAAGGACAAAATAGAGTACTGCGTCAACACACAAGGGCAAAATATAGTAATGCGTCAACACACAAGGATCCAAAATATAGCACAGCGCAAACACACAAGGACAAAAAATAGCACAGCGCCAACAAAAAAGGACAAAATATAGCAGAGCGCCAACACACAAGGCACAATATATCACAGCGCCTACACACACGGACACAAACTATAGCACAGCGCCAACAAAAAAGGACAAAATATAGCACAGAGCGAACACACAAGGACAAAATATAGAACAGAGCCAACACACAAGGGAACAAAATATAGTAATGCGTCACCACACAAGGGCAAAATATAGCACAGCGCAAACACACAAGGACACAATATAGCACAGCGCTATCAAACAAGGACACAAAATATAGCTCAGCGCCAACACACAAGAACAAAAAATATAGCACAGTGCTAACACACAAGGGTAAATTATAGTACTGCGCCAACGCACAAGGACAAAATAAAATACTGCGTCAACACACAAGGGCACAAAATATAGTACTGCGTCAACGCACAAGGACCCAAAATATAGCACACCGCCAACACACAAGGGCACAAAATAGCACTCCGTCAAAACACAACAGTAAAACATGGCCCAGTGCTAACACACAAGGACACAATATAGCACAGCGCTACCACACAAGGACACAACATGGCCCGACGCCAACACACAAGGACAATATATAGCACAGCGCGAACACACAAGGACAAAATGTAGCACAGCGCCAACACACAAGGACAATATATAGCACAACGCCAACACACAAGGACAAAAAATATAGCACAGGGCTAACACACAAGGACAAAATATAGAACAGAGCCAACACACAAGGGAACAAAATATAGCACAGCGTCAACACACAAGAGCACAAAATATAGCGCAGCGCCAACACACAAGCACAAAATATATAATAACGCCACCACACAAGGACAAAATAAAGAACTGCGTCAACACACAAAGACACAAAATATAGCACGCCGCCAACACACAAGGACCAAATATAGCACAGCGCTAACACACAAGGACAGAAAATATAGCACAGTGCCAACACACAAGGACACACAATATATCACAGCGCCTACACACAAGGACACAAAATATAGCACAGCGCCTACAAACAAGGACACAAAATATAGCACAGCGCCAACACACAAGGACAAAATATAGCACAGCGCTAACACACAAGGACACAAAATATAGCACAGCGCCAACACACAAGGGCACAAAATATAGCACAGCGCCAACACACAAGGGCACAAAATATAGCACAGCGCCAACACACAAGGGCACAAA